GCCCCTGCCTGTGCTCAGCTGGCTCCAAGTACAGCAGGACCTTGGGGAGGGACTTCCCAGTGCCCCCAGTCCTGCTCTGCTCCCCCCACGGACTTCCTCCTCTGCGCCCAGTCCTATTTCGGTTCCCCATTTAGAGATAGCAGACAGTGCTCAAGTTAAAATTACCCCCTGGGAGACTTAAGCCTGTCTGGCACCCCCCTTCTGTGTCCCCGTTCCCCCTGGAGGGTGTGGGGCAGTTATAGCTCAAGAACTGTTTCTGAAAGCACATTTCTCAGAATGCGCAGCCCTGAGCCTCCAGCAGTCTGGACATCAGCTGTCCTTCGTTTTAAAGACCCCTGCACCCTTCTCTTCCTGAAGCCTGGGGCCAGAGGTGGCCCCTCTCCCCTTGCTCTGTACCTTCCCCAGGGTACTGCTATCTGGGCGATCCCAGGTGTCAAGCAGCCAGCCAGAGGCGAAGGCTCCTCTCCCTGCAAAACCCAGCTTGGCAATGGGCAATCTACCTCTCTGTTTCCTTCTGCATCTTTTCACCTGGATGTCCGTTTGCTGCACGTGCAGTCTCTCTAAACAGCGGTGGGGGCTGCCATTAAGTTTCCAGCCAGCCGCCCCTGCAAGAACACTTGGTGGATATAAGGCAAGGCCAAACAGGGTCCCTTTCCTTCAGGGACTTGCAAGCTCATGGGGGAGCCGGGCTTGGAAACCAGAGCACGAGGCAGAGCCAGCTGTGGGTTCTGAGCTGGGCTTGGTGGGGACTGTCTGCAGAGGCTCCGTGAAAATGATCTTGCTGGACATCACCCAGAGCTTTCCATAGCCCTAGAGATTTTAATGGGAGGCAGGAGAAGTGATAGGCATTTTGTTTCATAATCTGAACTAACCACTCCCACGTTTTTCCTGCCCGACTTTTGGCTACGAACATGAGTTCATGTCCATTCTGTTGACCCCATAACCCTGGAAGGGAGGGCTGCTCTGACCTGGACCGTCTTCAGTTATCAAACCTGTTTCGAGGAGGAAATGTTGCCCTCTGGTTTTTTCACAATCAAGCTATCTGGTATGTGCTAGTCCCCGGAGCAGAAACCCCACCGTCCGTGGGCTTCAGGTGGGAGCGCCGGGCCCTGCAGGGGACCATGTTAGCAGCACGAGGCTGACTTGGGCCTTCAGGGTTTCCTTCTGCATTTCAAAATGACTTGACGCATCTTTTCAGGAAGGCAGTCGCTGCAGAATGAGGAACGAAGTCTGGTGGCCTGGACCGTTAGGAACCGAGGGCAGCCCTGGCCGTGGTCGGAAGTGTGGCTGGTGCCCGCCGGGCATCCCGAGCAGACCCGCGGGCACTTGCTTCCTCGGGCGCTTTGCACCAGAGCCCTCGTGTGCTGAGTATCTTCTGTTTGCCCCCAGATGCACTCGCGCCCTGCCCAAAGGGAGCCACGGCCCGCTGCCAGAAGGCTGGGGGGGGCGGGGCACCCCTCCTGATCTACTGCCCTGGTCGCCTCCCAGGGAGGTTCCAGCACCTGCCCCTCACCTGGGATCCTCCAGGAATGGTGACTGTCCCCCACCATGGCTAGCCCTAGGGGGGGGCTGTACCACTTCTTATTGGCATCCCTACACCCTGTCCACTGAATTCCCCAGTTTAATGTGACATCTGCTTCCATCATGGCTAATGCACATGATAACCTTCTTGTCCGCATTAGCTGTTAAAATTGTTGAAAAGGCACCACCTTTGGTTGATGCACTCCAGGGTGCGGGGGTGGGGGGCAGAAGCTCCCCTGCTACTGGCTCCCCCCTGTTCCTCTGCACCCCAGTCCCAGACCCACAGAAGATCCTTGCTGCCCATCTCTCCTCCTGGCTCCAGCTCTTGGCTGTCATCCTGACCCCAACAAACCCAGCAAACCTGTAGAACCACTAATCGCTTATCTGATTGCCTGGCCCTGCTGTGCAGCATGCTAATATGGCAGTAGGAAGCAGACCTGACTCCCACTGTGGGGGTGGGGTGGGGTTGTCAGGCAGAGATGGACTTGACCTGCCAGGGCAGGACGGGCCCCATGGTTAGGACCCTGCCACTGGGAGGTCCTGCTCCTGACTCCTGGCTTTGACTTGGTGGGGTTTGTTAAATCACACCCCGGTACAGCTCTGGGCAGACCCACCCCTCCCTGGCCACACTGCCCTGCCCTCCTGGCCATGCTGGCCCCCTCGTTTCCAGGCCCAGCTTTGGAGTGAGATGCCGTGGGTGGGCTGCTGTCTTGGCTATACACACAGAGGATCCCAGCACACTCCTCTCCCTGCCCAGCCTGGGCCAGCTCAGTAGCTACTGTGGTCCCTGTCTTGGCTCTGACCCTTTCTCTTCCTGTTCTTGAATGTGCTCTGAGCATAAGTTCTCAAAGGAGTCTCTGTTAACCCCGTCAAGCCTTGGTGCCAAGAGCAAAGACTTATGAGGACGCCCTCTCGGAACAGTTCCTCCAGGAAGACCCTAACTCAGCCTGGCTGTGGCTCCGGCCTTCCCTGTTTCCTCTGCGTGCTGCCTGTGGGGACAGGCTGCTTCCAGCTGGCCCACGTGTGCAAAGGGAGGGGTCTTCTTTTCAGGTGGGACCTGCACCTGCAGATCTGCTCCCTGCAGAAGGGCCCGATGCTCTTCCCGGAGGCTTTCCCTGTGAGTGTGGGGAGGTGGAGGAAGGCCTCCCTCCCCAGCACGCCTGCCAGTGGCTGCCATGAGACTGCCCACCTGTCCACGGTCCTTGAGGTTTGCACTCTACCCTGCATCGTCTACCTTCCGGTAGCCTGGGCCGCCAGCAGCCTAGGCCCGCTAGAACCCGGCTCCCTGGCCTCTCGTTTGCCCCACAAACAGCGCTCAGCCCCCGCCGGTGGCTTCCGGTTCCTCCTGCCCACGGGGATTCCTTCTAGATTGCCTGTTCCTCCGCTTGCCTAGGACACAACATGCTTCACCAATTCTAAGATGCTTATTTTTCAGATTTAACACCTCTGGAATCAAATGTTTCTACAGTCAATGCATAAGCTTCAGCTTTTTAGTGGTGTATAAAATGACACTTCTTAGCATCAGTGCATTTTAAATTCCCAAATCTCGTGTGCTTTCTCAAACACGCGTTCCTCAGACATCCTCCAGCTGAGAGTCCTTTCCAGATTCACGCACGAGTCATTGCCCTTTGACTTTCTATGATGCTTTCCTACCCCTTTCCCATACGCCTAACGGCTCATCGCCCATTAGCTGGAAATTCTTTGATAGGACGGCACTTTTCATAACTGCTTTGACTGAATCAGGTTCAGAGATCTCGCGTGGTGTCAAATTATTTTTGTTATCCTGCTCGCTTTTGGTTTTGAACCTGTTCACGTCACTTTTTAGAAGGCCTGGCTGCCACCGTTCAGAGGTTTCTTGTTCAACAATGCTTGAAAGAGATTGCTTAACATGGGGCTTTGTGAAAACAAGGGAATGCATTGAAAAGAACTAAATACCCCTTTTGTTAAACTCTCTATGAATTTACTAGTTTAAGCCACACACACACACACACACCCAGATTTATACACGCGTGCAATGCATATGCACACAGGAATACCCATGGAAAGAGAGAGACAAACAGGGAGACAGAGACACCCCAAGTGAACAGCTCTGAATTGCAGGTAGGTAGATGATAGAGGTGCATGTGTCCTCACTATAACTTGGAGTTAACTACCCCGGAACAAGGGCTCAGGGAAAGATCTGAGTCCTAATCCTGTTCCCCGCTGAGTCTGTCCCAGTCTGCATTCCCACTTACCCATAATCCTGCAGACCTTCAAGCCAGGTCATCTGCAGCCTCCCAAGTAAATCCCAACCAACCAGGCAGCAATAGCATCTGACCTGGAGGCAGGTATATTAGGACCCTGTGCAGCCACGCTCAGCCCAGACCCACCTGCTTACTTTCCAAGCCCCTCCCTATTTTCCTGTTGGCTCCTTTCCCACCTGCGATGTGTCCGATGTGTCCGTTCCCTGCAGAAAGAAGGCAGCTGCAGCCTCTGGGGGAACAGTTGGACCCCTGACCTCCAACTCCGGAGATGGTGCCTTTTCAACTAATTTTAAAATTACATGAAGTCACTAACATGATGGTTGTCACAAAGACAGGGTGAACCACAGGCATTCAGCAGCTGGGACCAGGGGGCTATGCTCCCTTGAGGTCAGGGAGACCCCACGCAGAGGGTGCCTGTTTGGTGTTCATTCCTTTACCCACCAACAGCCTGGTCCCTCCCTCCTCCCTCCCAGCTGCCCCTGAGGGTGGGGACTCAGTGAAGGGGAGGGGAGGTGGCTGCTGAGGGACCCTGGAATTTCCTGCTGGGGGGGGGGGGAATGGGCCCCAGGGCATTTGAATAGCTGAGCAGAATTACCCCCAAGCTACTGTGCTATCAGCAACTGAGATATAGACCAGTGAAGATTTCTGTGCTGCCTAGATCATTTTCTGAGTTTTGATGAAACAATTGACAAACAATTAACAAATGAAATAAACAATTAACAAATGAAAAGAATATATAAAAGCAAAACAATTCTAGCATAGGTTTTTTTTCTCCCTGTGCTTGAAAAAAAATCTTTGTGGGGGAAAAAAAGAAAAATAACACCCCCGCCCCCCCCCCACACACACACACAGTCTAGAAAAGCATTCTAAACAATTGAAAATGAGTCTCTCAGGGTCATGGGACTACAGGTGATTTCTTATTTTTAAAAGATCTGTATTTTCTAATTTTGCCACAATAAAAACGTACTGTTTGTATAACAAAATACTTTTAAAAATAAAAGTTGTTTTTTTTTTTAACTGAAAAAAAAAAGTGCGCCTTTTGCAGAAGGGCTCTTGGGAGCCGCGGGTGACAGGATGTGAGGGCGTGGGCGTGGGGCCACACACCCCGTGCCAGCCGAGGGAGGCTTTTCCTGGATTGTGGTCACACTCTCCTGGGTCCCTGCTGCAGATGGCCTTTGCGGTGGGTGACGTCCCGGTCAGTTACAATGTGCTTCTGCCCGGCTGCTCTGTCCTCAGGCGTCCGAAGGCGTCCCGGTGAAGTTCTTCACCAAGCTGGACCAGCTCATCGAGTTTTACAAGAAGGAAAACATGGGGCTGGTGACCCACCTGCAGTACCCGGTGCCGCTGGAGGAGGAGGACACGGGCGATGACCCCGAGGAGGACACAGGTAGGGACAGGACCTGCCCGCCAGGCTCCGCTCGCGCCCATGCTGGCGTCAGAGGGCGGCAGTGGCGCGGTGGTCAAGGGCTTTAGGAACAAGGGCTAGAATTCAGCTGTGTGACCTTGAGGAAGTGATTCAGACTCTCTGAACCACAGATGTCTCTTTAAAGAGACAGTAAATACAGTGTCCACGTCTGGGGTGTCACAGGACCCAGGGAGTCAGTGAGTGCAGTGCCTGAGCGTGGCAGGCATGCGGGTAGCGCTGGATGAAGGCAGCTCCCACCATCATCACCATCATCACCAGCTGAGTCTCACTGTGGGGAGAACGAAGGATGAGAAAGGTGTTTCTTCATATCATCATTAAAAGGGGGCAGAAGACAGCCCCTAAAATACATTGAAAAAAAAGGTGCTACCCCTGAAAACTACGTGAGACTCAGGTCTGCCCTTTGCAGAGGAGGACAAGGACCAGGGAGCCAGCGGCAGATAAAGTCGTGCAGAGAAGGTGCTCACCTGGGGCACCCCTCTTGTCCCCTCAAAGGTTTACTTCCTGAAAGAAAACCTCGAGATACCTTTTTTTTTTTTTTGAGATGGGGTCTTACTCTGTTGCCTGGGCTGGAGTGCAGTGGTGCAGTCACAGCTCACTGCAGCCTCAAATTCCTGGGCTCAAGTGATCCTCTTGCCCCAGCCTCCCGAGTAGCTGGGACTACAGGTGCCACCACCATGCCCGGCTAATTTTTTTTTTTTCCAGCAGAGATGGGGTCTCACTCTTGCTTAGGCTGGTCTGGAACTCCTGAGCTCAAGCGATCCTCCCACCTCGGCCTCCCCGAGTGCTAGGATTACAGGTGTGAGCCACTGCGCCCGGCCTGAGGAACCTAATTGAACTCAGCTGGTCAGGGCTCGTCCTAAATCCTAGCGTCTGGAGACCACCAGGTCCTGCAGGCTGCCCCCAAGGGAGGAGGGATTAGACCAGAGACCTGCGGTCCCAGCCTGGCTCCCACCTGTCCCCAGGAACCATGTATGTGCTCGGTGTCCTTTTTCTCCCTATCCCTTGCACTGGCCTGGAGGCTACTGGCGTCCTCACCTCCTCCCGCCTTCCTGGATCCCCCTGCTCATGGTCATGAGGCTCATCCTTTCCTAAAGGACCGAAGCTCTGTGGAGGCTGAGAGTGTTTGCAGGCAGGCCCTGTCCCTTCTCGCCTCCCTGGTCCAAGTGGGAGGTGTGCTCCGGTGACCAGCCCAAGGTGTCTTAACTTGACTCAGGGCTTCTCAAGGTGCTGCCAGACCCTTGGGGCTCAAAACAGACTCCTGCCTTCAGAACCCCAGACGGGAGGGGAGGCGGAGGGCTCGTCCTCTAACAAGAAGGTCCCCAGGCAGCGCCGTGGCGGCCGATGGCACCAGGTGTGGGAAGAGGCTCCTGCAGGGAGTCCTGGACCCAGGGGCTCAGTGACCTTCACCCATTTGTGGGACGTGCAGGACGGACATTCTCCTAAAGGTGACGGGCAGGGGCCCGTCTCTCAGGCGAAGTTCAAGTCGTTTGTTTAACATTCCAGCTCTCTGAATGAAGGGAACCCCTCGCTTTGGTGCTTCTGTCGCTGAGGGTCTGAGGGAAGAGGGGAGGAGGGGCGGGGCTGGAGAGGCGGCGCAGAGAGGGGCAGTGTGGGGTGGGGTGGACGGGCCCTCCTGGGGCTCTGGCCTCATGCTGGGAACCGCCTGGTCCAGGGCTCAGCCCTCACAGGGCAGGTGCCTCGGCCCCTGAGAGCCCAGCATCCTGACGACCTGCCCGAGGCTGCCAGTCGCTCTGTCCCCCAGAGCCCCCGCTGGGTGGGGCCGTCCGACCCTCGCGGGTGCTGCTGAGCCCCACGGTGGGGCAGGCCTGTGCCGGACTCCAGAGGTCACCAAGACCAGGTCCCTGCTCAGGAAGGAGGCTCTCTCTGTAGTCAGGGAGCGAGCAAGGAACAGTGGGGACACAGCCGGGGACCTGTAACGTGGGTGCCGCGGCCGTGGGAAGCTCGGGATGGGGCTATGCACACAGCGTCCTCACCAACGTCATTCCTGCTGCCGTCCTGGGTAGAAAACATCGTGTCTCCACCCGAGCTGCCCCCGAGAAACATCCCTCTGTCCGCCGCGCCCTGTGAGGCCAAGGAGCTTCCTCCTCCGATCGAGAACCCCCGCGCGCCCGAGGTCAGCCGGCCGAGCCTCTCCGAGACGTTGCTGCAGCGGCTGCAGAACATGGACACCAGCGGGTGAGTCCCCAGCGAGGGGGGGGGCTCGGGGCCGCCAGGCTGCATCTCCCATGCCAAGCCCAGCAGGTCCCTGACTGCATGACCTTGGGTGTCCACCCTGATGATGGCCCTGGTGGCCAGGCGGGAGATGTGGATGTGGCAGGGGTAGTGGTTGTGCAAATCCGGCGCCTTTGCACCATGGTCTTCAACACAGGCCAGAGGCAAGGGCCGTACCAGGAAGGAAGCTCCGGGAGGGACACTGTGTCCCCAAGGCCCGGCACATGGCCCGGCAGAGCCTAGGCACTCACAGCATATGTGTTGGACGAATTAGCAAATCAGTACACGGTCACTTCCGTGCATGAATAATTTTAAAACTTTTGTTGTTGCTTTGTAAGAAATACACCCCTTCCCCCAAGAGCAATCCCCAATGGCAGAGCTGCAGCAGCATCTCCAACCTGAAAGGCCAATTTCAGGCCCTCAGGGCTGCTCTGCGCGCCCCCCCCCCCCCACTTGGCAGAACACAGAGGGCATGCCTGAGGGTGCACACGGCAAGGTGTGCTGAGATGCCTGGTGTTTTTCCATTCCCACCTTGACGTGCCCTTCGGTTCTTCTCTGGGCCCACCAGGCTGTGTTCTGTGCACGCTCCTTGAAGTGCTGGTGCAACGTATCGAGTGGCTGCATACCCGTGATACGTTATCACGACCGCCCTGATGTATGTGTCTAAATAACCAATGCTTGTTAAAATGTTCCACATAGCGCCCATTGTTAGCCCCCCTGGGTTTAGATGCTGAATGCAGTAAGCTCCTTGGGGAATAGGCAGGGAACAGCAGGTGTGTCACCTGCCAACCTCTCCTCCCAAAGGCCCCACATCTGCTGACTGCGTCCCCTCCTCAGGCCCTCTGCTCTAGGTACAGGCGTTCCGCCTCGGTGGGGCTGGCCAAGGTAGGGACGTGGGAGGGAGGCATGCTCTTTCTAGCTTTGCTTCTCGGCGAACACATGGTGATGGAACCTTCTTAGAACTTCTGCTTGGAGGCTGGCGTGGTGGCTCACGCCTATAATCCTAGCACTCTGGGCAGCTGAGGCGAGAGGATCACTCAAGGTCAGGAGTTCAAAACTAGCCCTGAGCAAGAGCGAGACCCCGTCTCTACTAAAAATAGAAAGAAATTAGCTGGCCAACTATAGAAAAAATTAGCCGGGCATGGTGGCGCATGCCTGTAGTCCCAGCTACTTGGGAGGCTGAGGCAGAAGGATGGCCTGAGCCCAGGAGTTTGAAGTTGCTGTGAGCTAGGCTGACGCCACGGCACTCTAGCCCAGGCAACAGAGCAAGACTCTGTCCCCCCAAAAAAAAAATTATCAAAAAAACAAAACAAAAACACTTCTGCTTGGAGATGGGAATGAATGAATGAATGAATGAGGCCTGGGCAGGGACCGAGGAAGGAACCACACAGGGCCACCCCCAGGTCTCAGGGTCAAGGGGACTGAGATTCCTCATTGTGTTTCACAGTTAGTCTATTTTGCTTATCAAGTCATTCTTTACATGGAGGACTGGCCTTTAGATTATCTTAAATGATGAGACAACCTGCTCCACAGTCTTTACTGCAAGTTAATTAGATCTCATCAACTAGGTTGTGGCTAACAGGTTAATTATTACAAGGTTTCTGAGTAAAATTAACCTCTGATAAACATGGTTTACATCTTTATGGCAACACTTTTCTACGGCAAACATTTTAACAAGTAGCGCTTCCTGTGGCAAGCACGGACGGTCTCACATTCCAAGTCAGCGGTCACGAGACCTGCTGAGACACATTTCACACTATAGAAGAGACGTCCGTCCTTTTTAGTAAGCAGAGTCAGGCAGACACTGAATTATTATGACGTCAAGGCCCAGAATAAACACAGACTAACCCTAAATGTCATGAGAACGGGTTGTAAAGAGTTGCTAACGTCTCAATCTAAACAATTCAAATGGCAAATCCATCCCTGTCCAGTCCCAACAGCAACAGCTTTTCACTCTCTCCCCGATCCCTCTGGCTTCAGCTCGACCATATGTCAAGGCTGGAACAAAAATCTTTAAGGCTTGTCATAATTTTTTTCACATAGGTAATTAACAACCTTGAGCCTCAGTTTCCCCATTTATAAGGCAGGGATAATTAATAACAATAACGTCTGCCTCATAAAATGGATTTGTGAATTAAAGGAGAAAGTGAGTGACAAGTGCTTAGCATAGTGTCTGGTATGCTGGGCTCAGGAAACACTTGCCATTATTGCCATCTTCACATTATTATGGGAAAAAAGACTTATAACAAAAGGTGCTGGGAGACAGAAAGCAGAGGTCTGTCAGCCTTCAGGTGACAGCCCCTGCTGGGGCTGGCCCGGGCTCTGCCTGCCCCCTGCCAGATGTGCACAGCAGGCAGACCCCGGCCACAGTCCCACTCACTTTGTAAATAGAAGGGGGTGGCCCAAATTAGGCAGGGCGACGTTCCCATCACTGATCACCCAGACTGCCCCATAGAGCCTGGGACGGATGACTTCAGATCCTCTCAACACAGAGCCCTTGTGCCATGCATGTGAGCTAAAGCCACTTTCTACCTCCTGACCAGATCATGCTTCCAGCCCTCAGACCCTATCTTTTTAGGTGGATAAGATAGGAAAACAATCCCACGCCACATTTTCCAAGACTTTTTGTCCTTTTGTAAAGGACAACCACTTCCTAGCCCCCCAGCCAGAATCCCTTCCTTTCAGCAGCACCCACAGGTACTCGGTCAAGAGCCACCTGTCTTGCCCGACCCCTTCATCTTGCTGTGACCTGCTGTCTGCCCCGTCAGTAAGACCACAGGAACCTTCGTACAGGTGTGCAAACGTTCTTCTGAGACCATGTCTCCATCGGAGTCTCTGAGAATGACGATTTGCTATTGCTGTCGCTGTTACGGTTGGCGTTGGTGGCTAAAAGGAAGGGGGCAAGCATGTTTTTATTTCTATTTTTTTTCAGCCTTCCAGAAGAGCATCTTAAAGCCATCCAAGATTATTTAAGCACTCAGCTCGCCTTGGACTCGGAATTTGTGAAGACGGGGTCCAGCAGCCTTCCTCACCTGAAGAAACTGACCACACTGCTCTGCAAGGAGCTCTACGGGTAATGGCTGGCCCGTGGGGAGGGCCACCGGGCGGGAGAAGCAGCTCATTAGCGGGACCCCTGTGCCCCGCCGGGCTGTCCAGGGGCCTCTGCTGCACGCACAGTAATTGGGCGGTTGGGAGAGCTTAGAAATCTTTGTGGCAGTTTGGAGGTCTTGATATCATAGGATTTGAACTGCAGCTTGTGTGAAGCTGTTTTTTTAAACTAAAGTTAATTTGAGGCCAGTTGTTCTGGGAAGGGGCTGGGGTGGGAGGACAGGGCCAGCTCTTTCTGTCTTGCTCAGGATCTAGTACTTATGGCTTTTGTGGCTACACCTGCTGGCTTGTAGCCATCACACTCAGCAAGCCCGTGAGGCCATCAGGAGGAAATAAATTAGTCAATTTTCTCTGTTGGTGGTGATGGCCCCAGATTTCCAGCAATCTCAGTTTTTTTTAAAAGTGAGCTGATTCACCAAACTTTTAGTTTTCTAATGTTGAATTCATTGAATGACCAATTGACAAGAATTCTGATTTCTTTTTGATTATTTTGATCATACATTTTAATCTAATTAACATTAAATTTGATCTCAAGTGTAATTACATTTTAATTGTTCGAAGTGCAAAAGTAAGGCATATCATGCCATCTGAAGAATTAGCAAAGAATATTTTAAATGCTTCAAGCCTGGAGAAAAATAAATTCCAAAACATCTGAAAGAAGACACAAAGAACCAAAACGATCCCATCACACATGAAAGGTTTTGGTTGGAAAAACAGCATTTTACAAGGGTGAGTTTTTTTCCAGTCCCTGCTGTTGTGTGTTTTATTACACACACAGCAGTTCCAAGATTCCCTCGTCAATTTCTCTGGGGTCCTATCAATCTTAGCTTAGTTAATGTGCAGAAAAGACTCTCTCATCATCAGTAATGAAATTCAACTTTCCTTTTTAAAGGCTCTTAAAAGCACAATCAGTGTATTTGGTAAATTTAACAAATAATTTCTTTGGCAAATTGAGCACTCGTCAAATTGGCCAGTCAGGCTTAATTTCAACAAATTGGCTTTCAGTTAACACAGTTCCAGCCAGCTGGACCCGAAGCCACCATTTTTATAGATTTCTGTGGAGGGATCTTGTTCCATTTGACGCTGCTGCTATGAATCACTTGTCACTAAGGGAAACACATACAAATGGCACTTGCTTTTCATGAGACATCATTTCACAATAGCTGATAAGCTTTTATTTCTGCTTGGATGGAGATCTTGTTCTTTGCTGCTTCCTTGTTGAAGAAGAAATTTGTATTTTAAGTCTCTCCACTAGGCTTCCCCCACACATTGGTGGCTTTCCCGACACTGCATTGCTACCTGGACATCCCCAGGATTCGGGTCACCTTGTCGTTGTGGTGACAGCAGCTTCCCCAACTGGCCCATTTCCCTGGTACATCATGCCAGCAGAGAAAGCTCCCTTCGGCTTCTAGCTGCTCCACATCTCTCTGTACTGAACAGTGAACCTCAGGCTAGAATTAGAGACACTGTAGTGTTCTAAATGCCCCCTGAACACCTGCCTTCACTTTCGTAGGTGAGCCATAGCCAGGCACGGAGACGTGGGTAACTGAAGGATGGGATTTTAGGAAATCCTAGAAAGGAACAAAATGAATCAAACTTATGAACTGAGTGCGGACTGTCAGTCTCTTGAAGACATCGTGGATCATGTCCTAATCACCTTGCTATTTCCAGCACCCCGCAAAGTACTCAAAGCATTAGTTTATTCAATATTCACGAACAAAGATCGGACTGTGTACCAGATACATGTCAGGAGCTGTTCCCGGGCTGGAGACACAGCAGGGAATAAAACAGAATCTTTAAGAAATCTCTGTTGAGCAAATGAACGATAACAATGACCAGAAAGCAAAAGAGCAGGGGAAAATGGTAAAAGTAAAGACAGAAATACATTTGGAGAAACAGTCAAATAAGACAGTTTTACACATTAGAAATGTCAAAGGAGATTTAATAATCTGTACTAAAGACTTGCAAATCACTAAGGAATACAGTGTACAATTATGTGTTCTACAAATCTTTAAGTCACAATGAAATGGAAACAAGTTTTACATAAAATGTAAATCACAAAAATCACCACGAATGCCCTTCTTTAAACTTCCAAGGAATAGTGACCATAATGTATCGATTATCCCTGAATGACAAAGGTCGCCTGATTCACTCTTATAGAAAAATGTGACTCAAATCCAAAAGCTTAATCGAGAGCCTAAAATAAAGCTATCTCCAGTTTCATTTATTAATATGAATGTATATTATTTCAGTAACATTCTAGCAAATGTCATTTTAGTGACATGAAAAATGGAGGGTGTACCTGAGAAATCATCCCAAAGATAAGTCAACAAAAAGAAAGCACTGTAATTTAGCAGCAGACTAGAAGATAAAGGAATCATTTGCATAGATGTCCCAATAGATAAAAATTTTAAATTCTCATCCCGTATTTAAAAATCGTTTTTTAAAAAAGAGTAGAAGGCTACTTCCTTCATAATGCAATATGTGTCAATGTAAAACCAATTACACTTGACAGGGAAGCATTAAATCATTCCATTAAACATTTTAACAAAAGAAAAAGATGCTTTTTATCATCTGATGTTTTAACACTATGAGAAATTTTTGCTAAAGCAAGACAAGACAAAGAGGCAAAAAAAGAAAAGAAACAGCAAAGCATCAGATCATTCTTTCTGAGTCTGTAGTTCTGGGTTCTGAGACACTGGATGTGGTCGACAGAAATTGAGTGGGAACCTGGGAAATAAATTAATTTGCAGAGAACGAGGTGGGAGGTGGCTGTCCCCTAGGCAGTCCAGAAAGACCAGGCAGGGGGCCTTCAGCTTCCCACCTACCCCTGGGGCCAGGTGGACTGGAGGACTCAGCCCTGTCTTTGCTCCCCAGTCTAGCAGCTCTGCCTTTAGGGTTGGTCCCTGAAGCTGGGAGCACAAGGCTGGACAAGCTTTCCAGGGATCCTGCCAGCGATCACATCCCTGGACAAATCCTTTCTGTACAATAAGGCTGGTTCTTCTTACGCCTTCCAGCTGCAGTCCCTGTGTCATTCTGCCCCTAACTGGCACCTCCAGATGTGTCTGGGAGCCGGTCAAATCTTTCAAACCTCTAAAATGGTTAGAAAAACAGTGGAAAACAGTATAATTCTTAGAAAATCCTAAAGATTCCATTTGTGTGTTTGTGTATATATTTGTGTTCTTAGGATACTGTTTTGTAACTTGAGAACTATGAAGACGATCTATTTGATGTTGAAACTGTTTTGAAGTAGTGCTTTAGAAAAAATGTTTTAGCCGGGAATTCTTCTATGAAGTCGTGATTTAAACAGAATACCACTATGCCAACAGATGGACAGAGCAGCTCTTGGGAAGGGGGACATGGAAACCCAGAGTCTGCCTGCCCAGAGCTTCCTTCCCTCCCACCCCATGCTTGGTCTCCAAAGGATGACTGTTTCAAAGTCGAAAACCAACACACCATCTTTGAATCCATAATTTAATTCATTGCCTCGTACACATGGGGTGGCCTGGATTTTTAGCTGAATAAATGAAATAGGGCCTGGAAACAAATCCTGCAATATTTAAGCAGAGCTTATCCAATAGACTAACCGAAGAGAACTAAGGAAAAAAGAACAACTGCTGTTGAATAAAACTGATTAGCAATACTGGGAAAGATGAACTCAATTCTACTGTACATTAAAAAAATAATAATTCCAGAGTAGATGAGGAATTAAACATATAGAACAACAACAAAAAAACCCTCCTAAATAACAGAATCATAAAAAGAGTTAGAAAGCAATTTCAAGTGAGCAAATAATTGCTCCCTAGTAAATAATGATGATAAACTACAGTAAGCAAATTACCAGGGAAGAGATGAAAAATAAAATGATACAAAATTATGTATCACTTTATAATGAAATCCAGCCCACCTACCATGAAAATAGCATAATGGAAAAAAAACATACAACACCTAGATTAAATAAAAAGCAAAGCAATATGTAAAGTTTATACCAATATATAAAAATACTAACAGAATTCCTAAGGGAAAATTGGCAAAGTACATAAAGAAAAATACGGTAGAAATTAACCAGAAATCAAGAGTAGAAAAATACTTAGACATTACAAATGAAAAGATATGCAAATCCATTCTGTATTGAAGTGCAATGTTATGCCCATTAAAACAGAAAGAAAGTGCAGTAATTAGAGATATTGAACAAGCAGGTTGAACAGTGCCGGTGACCTGATCATTGGTACCATCACTTGAGGGCTTGGTAATACTGACTCAGAGCCATAACCTCTGGTCATCCTAATTCTACAACTGAAAGTAAGAAGAGAAAAGCTATGTGAACAAAACTGTTCAGAGCAGCCTTTGTTTATGATAGCAAAGATCTCAAAGTAACCCAAATATCTAGCAGTCAATTTTGGCACATTTACTTGATAGAATATTTTGAAACCATTAGGATGTTAAATATGTAAAAACACGAACAGTTTTTGATGAAATAATAAGTGAAAAATAAAACTCAAAATTGTCAGCCCACCACGCTTAAAACCATGTGAAAACAGTAGAAAAGGATGAGAAGGAAACAAAGAATTGATAAAGCCCTGGGACTTGTCAAAGGATTCGACAATGGAAACCCCCTCTGGGCCTCCACTTGCTGGGAGGAGATTTGCATCAGAATCCAGAGAGCTTCAGCACCCGGAAGCCCCAATATTTAAAATGCAGATTCCAGACTAAACCAGGTTGTGGCCCAGAAGTTTGCATTTTTAACACCCAGGGTGTGGGTGTGTGTGTGTGTGTGTGTGTGTGTGTGTGTGTGTGTGTGTGTGAGATTCTTGTAAACACTGCACGTTGCAAACCAGAGGTGAAAGCAGTTTTGTGATTCTAGATTCGAATTTCCTACAGGTTATGCAGTCTAGTTTGGCTAAAGCATAACCCAGGTGAAGTCAGTGCTCCACGTGACAACTCAAGTTTGATGCGGGATGGGAAGGGTGGGGGTCGAGGGTGGGTGGGCCGGCGCCGGGAAGCCTCGATCTTTGCCCGGGCTTGTCCTGGGGAGGATTACCTGTCTCTGCCTGACCAGAGGTGGCCTTGTCTCCAGCTAGAGCCTCACTGCCTGGGAAGCTCCTCCTTTGGTGCTCACTAATCCTTGACCTTCACCTTGTCCCCTGTCGTAGGGAAGTCGTCCGGACCCTTCCGTCCCTGGAGTCCCTGCAGAGGTTGTTTGACCAGCAGCTCTCCCCCGGCCTCCGTCCACGTCCCCAGGTAAAGGGTGTTGGGGTTGGAAAGGTGAGATTAATAAGCCAGGGAGAGGGATGCGTTGGCCAGCGTCCCGAGGGCTCGGAAGGAAGACGGGGGCGCCGCCCGCCCGCCCCTTGTTCACCAGGCTACAGCCAGCCTGGACGCTGGGGCGATGGGGGTGTCTCAGCATCCTGCCCGCCCCAGGATGGCATTTCTTGCTGCCAGACTTTGATTTGAGGAATAAAGATTCCAAATTATGCACCCATCAGCAAAACTGCTTATTTAGTACCAAATAAGGAGAGAAGCAAGCAGGGCCTGTCCCATCACTTCTCACCAGAAACTGGAAAGGAAAGAAAAACATGAGGTGCCCAAACTCCTGATCCTGCCTCTTGCCCCAGAAAGAGCAAGATGAAGGTGGCTACCTGGTCCCCTCACCTGCTCCTGGCCTGGCTGGGGGCCAAGGTCACGTTGTCCTTTGAACAAAGCTCTGTGTAACAAAAGGTGCCATCAGCAAAGTTAAAAAAGTTAAAAGAAAGAAAAAAGCTGTATCTCGGGAGAAAATACTTGCAACAAATATTAGGGATAAAGAATTAAGGATAGGCCGGGGGTGGTGTCTCACGCCTGTAATCCTAGCACTCTGGGAGGCAGAGGCGGACGGATTGCTTGATGTCAGGGGTTCGAAACCAGCCTGAGCGAGAGCGAGACCCCCGTCTCTACTATAAATAGAAAGAAATTAATTGGCCAACTAATATATATATATATAGAAAAAATTAGCCGAGCTTGGTGGTGCATGCCTGTAATCCCAGTTAATCGGAAGGCTGAGGCAGCAGGATTGCTTGAGCCCAAGAGTTAGAGGTTGCTGTGAGCTAGGCTTGATGCCACGGCACTCATTCTAGCGTGGGCAACAAAGCGAGACTCTGTCTCAAAAAAAAAAAAGGATTTAGGATAAAGTATTAATATATTTTTTAAAGAAACTGCTGCAAGGCCGGACTCCGCGGCTCATGCCTGGAATCCTAGCACTCTGGGAGGCCGAGGTGGAGGATTGCTTGAGGCCAGGAGATTGAGACCAGCCTAAACAGAAGCAAGACCCTGAGACCCCGTCTCTACTAAACATAGAAAAAATTAGCTGATGGTTGTGGCACATGCCTGTAGTCCCAGCTACTCGGAAGGCTGAGGCAGGAGGATCGCTTGAGCCTAGCAGTTTGAGGTTGCAGTGAGCTCTGCTGATGCCATACCACTCTAGCTGGGGCCGCAGAGTGAGGCCCTGTCTCAAAAAACCCCAACAACAAAAAAACCTCCTACAAACAATTAAGTAACCTCCCACCCACCCCAATTTTTAAGATGGGGAAAGGATATAAACAAGGCTGTTCACTGAGGAGGGACAGGAAATAGCCAATATGGATATGAGGAAATGCTTGACCTCACCTTGTTAGTCACCAGGAAATAACATTCAAAACTAGGAGCTCTCTTCTCGCCTATCAGCCAGGCAGAAAGTTGATTGCTAAAGTGGACACGGCTGGGGTATGGGGTGGCAGGGACGCTTATGCAGGTTCCTTGCCTTTGCTGTTGGGAGTTGGGAGTGGAGGAGGGTTTTCTGAAAGGCAGTGTGGCCCTATGCATGCAAATGTTAACTGCAGGTGTCCTTCAAGCCCGCGGTTCCGTATGTATGCAGCGATCTTAGGGGCTACAGCACACAGAGATGTGGACACAGAAATACTCCTTGTAGCTTTGTCTCTGAATGAGAAACCCCTGGTAAACCACATAAATGCGGAGGGACTGTGAATTGAAGTAGGGTGCAGAACTCTATTCCAAGGTATGGGCACGGCTGTGGAAAGATCTCCAAGGCACGTTGTTGGGTGAAAAAGCAGTGTAGACTCTGATGTCAGCCCCCACGTGGAAGTCAGACCAGAAGGATTTAAACCCAAAGGGCCACTCTGGTTGCTGAGAGGAGGGGATGGGACTGGGGAGAAGGGGACTGGGCCAAGGAGGCTTTGAGTTTGCGTACATTGTTTGTTTGAGTTTTTTTATGGAGAAAATGTATTTGTGTTCTATTTATGCAACTTTAAAAATTCAGGAAAAAATTTGTTTGCTATCTTCTAAGTGAATAACGGATGAATTTCTAAAAAAGTAAAAGCAAATCTAGACAAAACAGGGGCCCAGCCAGACACTAGAATTTAAATAGTTTGAGTGGAAGAGCACACAGCCAAATCTTTGAAGCAGGTTGGGAGAGAGGGTCTCCAGGGGCAGTGTAGGGGAGAGTGCTGCGGGCAGACGCCAGCGTCTGCATTTGGGGGCAGACCAGCAGCAACAGAGTCGCCGGGTGGGGCTGGCTCCTAAACCCCCCTTCCGACACCCCTGGTCTTACAGAAAGCAGAGAATGTCATTCTTGATATGCCTTCAGAAATTCACAAATCAAGGAGGGAGTCCTGAGGCTGCCTAGAGGAGAGGAAAGAACACCGGCTTGTGGATTCAAACAGCCCAAGTTCAGAATCCGACTCACCCTCCCTGCTCCTTAGTTTCCTGACCGCGGGGTCAGGTTCGGGAGTAAGTGAAACTGGGTGTGTGACACACCCGCCCCTGGTAGACTCTTAGCAACCCGAGGCCCTTGGCCTTAGGCAGGTGAGAAGATGCGGACTCCAGGACCTCTTGACACCCAAACTCGGGTGTGGAGTTCCTTTGAGGCACGGCTAGGAACTGCAAAGCGCAGCATTATCAAAATGATTGCTGGCCTTAGGTCTGCTCTGTGTGAGAAGGGAGGCCTTCCCTGAGCCCTCCCCTCCCGGGCCAGCCCGGATGGCACTCGTGCCACTTCACCCACTGGTAGGCTCAGCCGGGAATTATGCCCCCAACCTCAACACTAGTGGCGTTTTGGGCTGGTGTATTCTTTGTCCTGTGCATCCCCCTAGCTGTGACAACTGCAGTTGTCTCCAGACATTGACAAATGCCCCTGTGGGGGCAAAATTGCCACAAGCCAAGAACTTGGCTAGCCCCACATTCAAATCTCAGGTCTATCCTAGCTGTAAACACACCACTATGACTCTGTCCCCCGAAAGCAATACAAGGATTAGAATCCATACATGTGAGGAATGGATGAGTTAATACATTTAAAATGCTCAGCATACTGTAAGAACTCATCAGGTTGTGATGACTGTCATTAGGCAGAAGGGTAGGAAAACTACAGCATTTTTCTGGTGCTTTTTGTTCCCAGCACTAACTCCCTGTTTGTCAGTAAGTTTGTTGATGCTTTGTATGATTTTGCCAGACCTCCCCCAAAAGTCACAAATCTCAGAGAGAAGGAAGACACCAGCCTAAAACTGCACGGGGTCTTCCCAGAGGAGAGAGCAGGTCATTCCCAGCCTCCACGAGGGAGAATGAGGTGGCTTGAACCTGTGTTACGATAAGTGTCAATTCTTTATGAGAAAAGCAGCCCTAAATCGGGGTCCTGAGCTGTCCTATCTAGTGACCAACCTTTCTGCTCAACCAGCTGGCAGGTGCCCTTGCCTGAGTCTCAGCTCCACCCCCTAGAGCCACCTCCCCGACTGACAGTAACTGTAGATGAACTGTGAGCTCTACTAAGGAGCAAGGGAAAAACCAAAATGTAGTCAGAGGAAGCATTGACAAATATTAACTGCCACCATAATAGGGGTGGCAGTTGTGATGGGGGGCTGGTATGGAGGTTGGGGATGGTGATGGTGGTCATGGTCAGGGGCAGTGATAGTGATGATGGAGGGGGTAGTGGTCATAGTGGGGGGGTCATGGTGGGTGATGATGGAGGGGGTTGTGGTCATGGTCAGGGGTAGGGGTGGTGATGATGGAGACAGTAGTGGTCATGGTCAGGGGTAGGGGTGGGAATGATGGAGGGGGTGTTGGTCATGGTGGGGGGGTCATGGTCGTGATGATGGAGGGGATAGTGGTCATGGTGGGGGGGTCATGGTGGTGATGATGGAGACAGTAGTGGTCATGGTGGGGGTCATGGTGGTGATGATGGAGACAGTAGTGGTCATGGTGGGGGAGGTCGTGGTCATGGTCAGGGGTAGGGGTGGTGATGATGGAGGGGGGTGGTGGTCACGGTGGGGGGTAGGGGTGGTGATGATGGAGGCGGTAGTGGTCATGGTGGGGGGTAGGGGTGGTGATGATGGAGGGGGTTGTGGTCATGGTCTGGGGTAGGGGTGGTGATGATGGAAGGGGTGGTGGTCACGGTGGGGGGTAGGGGTGGTGATGATGGAGGCGGTAGTGGTCATGGTGGGGGAAGTCATGGTCATGGTCAGGGGTAGGGGTGGAGATGATGGAGGGGGTAGTGGTCACGGTGGGGGATAGGGGTGGTGATGATGGAGATGGTAGTGGTCATGGTGGGTTTAGGGGTGGAGATGATGGAGGGAGTTGTGGTCATGGTTGGGGGTAGGGGTGGTGATGACGGAGACAGTAGTGGTCATGGTGGGGGAGGGCATGGTCGGGGGTAGGGGTGGCACTCTTGCTTTTGTGGTGTTGATGCTGGTGCTGGTGCTGGTGTTCATGATGGTGCTGATGACTCTGGTGCTACTGATCATGGCAGTGCCATTGACCATGGGGACAGAAGTGGCTGCGGGGATGGCAGAAGTCGTACACCAAAGTAGCTGGGTGGAAAATTGAGGTCAAAAGCAAGTTTAGCTCTGTTGAGCAAGGGGTGAGATAAAGCACATCGCCTAGCTGGCGGTAACTCCCACTCCATTCTCTTTGGTGTTCAAGTTAGTCTCGTGTTTAACTTTATCATTCCACCGGATGGTAGGGACGGTGGTTTATTCACTCTACAACCCCAGCACCTGGTGTAGAACAGACGCTTCATAAATAAATGTTTGTTCTGTGAGTAAATGCTTGAGACCACGCACTTGGTGCCGGGCAGACAGGGCTGCAGGTTTGTGTCCTGCCATTTACTAGCTGTGTGACCTTGGACAAGTAACTCCAGCTCTCTGGGCTCCTTGTATTCACCGAATGACTTTACTGAGCATCTTTGCTGGCCAGGCAGTGCTCTGAGCACCAGGGTGGCAGCACTGAACACAGCGCTGCTGGCCTCAATTCTCGTGGAGCCTACATAACAGGGGAGACGTACCATGAACCCGAAAAGAAAGGAGAGAACTTTAGCTCCTGGCATGGAATAAAGCAGGGTGACTTGACGGAGATGACCTGGTGGCTGTTTTGGAGACTGTGGTCAGGGAAGACCTCTCTGTAGGTCTGAGACCTGAATGACAAGGAGGTGTCCCTCCCAAGTCAAGTGGAATCTCTGGAGATTCTTCATAAAATGGAGCTCAAGGCAGATCGGAAGTGAGGACGGAGCCTCAGGGCAGGGAAGGGGCCGGGGGGACTTTCTCCTGCCGTGGGAAGGAAGGAGACTGGGGTTTTAAGCAGTGGGGTTGGCGTGTTTTAGAAGTAGAACGGGAACAGCAGGCAGGAGAAGGAGGAGGAGGAGGAGGAGGAAAGGGACCGCGCAGGGACGGTCCTGGAGCTTTGTTTAAGCACACGAGTGGGCGAGGCGAGAGGCACCAGGGCAGAGGCGGGTTTAGAGGGAAGAAGTGGTGAAGATCTATTTATTGGCCTTGAGAATTTTGAGAAGATAGGCGATATCCCTGGTGTCCTCGTCAGCCGGTGGGGATAATAATAGTCTTTGCAGGGCTGTGGGGGGGCTGGCATGAGGGGAAGCGTGGGGAGAGGGCTCACGCTCAGCGCCGCCGCCCTCGCGGGCTCTGCCTCCCCCACCAGGTGCCCTGCGAGGCCAGTCCCATCAACATGGTGTCCAAGCTCAGCCAGCTGACCTGCCTGCTGTCCTCTATCGAAGACAAGGTACTCGTGGGGGTCCCGCAGCTTCTCCTGGCCTCCCGGTGGTCCCCTCTCTGCACAGAGAATGCCCAGGCTGCAGGCTAGGTGTCCCCTCTGACCCTGTGTCCCCAACACTGATGCCCACAGGTCAAGGCCTTGCTGCACGAGGGCCCCGAGTCTTCCCACCGGCGTTCCCTCATCCCTCCCGTCACCTTTGAGGTAAGTGGCTGTGGGGCAGCGGGGCCAGGGCTTGGGCTCCACAGCTGGGGCCGGGCCTGCCTGGTCCCTGCAGAAAGAGGGCTTTGGCCTTGGGCCATGGGGCCACAAGGAGCCAAAGGGCAGAGAATGGCAGGCGGTGGAGCCACCTTGCCGTGAAGACGTTGGAACATGTGGCTGTGGGCCCCCCCTGCCGGGGGACACTGCAAGGGAACGGCTTCTCGCTGGCCCAAGGTGCTCTGTACGCTCCGTCCTTCTCAAAATGGGGGTGATGAGTGACATCAAACTGGGGCCCCCAAACAGGCTGCAAAGTAGTACCTCAAGGGGAGAGGGGACCAGAAAAACAAAAATGTGCAATTCCTGTGGTTTCCCTGAGGGGGATGGGTTAGAATCTCCAGTTTGGGCCCAGAAATGTGTTTTTCTTAACAATATCCGGAGATTCTCATGCATCCAGCCCAGCACCGGCCCCACGTTCAGAAACACAGTACAAGACTCCCCCCCCCCCGCCCAAATACACACACACTCCCCCCACCCCAAAGTCCTTTCTGGCCCTGGTGAAAATCTTGTATTAAGATAGATTTCCATTTTCTGAGCCTGCCTAGGCAACTGTCTTTTTTCCTAATTATTATCAGTAAATGTTAAATTGGTGGTTGTAACAAGGCCCAGGAGTTTAAATCTATTACTAAAATCCTTCTGGAAACAGAATGACACATCAGATTAATGAGCGCTGTCAGAGTAATCAGTGAATGAACCATTTTGCGGCAGTTCATCTGCTTCCTCCGCCAAGCCTGTTGGGCTGGCCGCACGGCTCACGCGCACAGTGGACGAGCTGGGCCCCAGAGGTCCAGCGACTCGCGTGCACGTGTGATGCTGGGGCAACGGGGTCAGGAAATAGAGGCCCAGTGGCCCCCACTTGGGACACCAACCAGGGGTCGCCCAGCCACATAGACACGGGGCTCGGGGTCAGCATTGCAGAAGCCGGGCAGAGATCAACGGACAACGTCTCTTCCTCTGAAAGGTGAAGTCGGAGTCTCTGGGCATCCCTCAGAAAATGCAGCTCAAAGTCGACGTGGAGTCTGGGAAACTGATCATTAAGAAGTCCAAGGACGGTTCCGAGGACAAGTTCTACAGCCACAAGAAAAGTAAGACCCCTTGCACCTGTTGCTCCTTCTGCCAGTGCCCTACGGGTGACAGGTCAGGAGCAGACTCCGCCAGGCCCACCCACCCCTCTGCGGAGGGCGGGCCCTCTCCTGGGGCACCCACTGCCCTTCCCCGCCTGTGGGGCTCCTGCACCTCCTGGCTCCCCGAGGGAGGCGTCCCTGCACCTCTGCCTCTTGCCTCTAACCCCCTGCAGTAAGCTCACACGTGCTCACACGCGGCATGTCCCGCCCTGGTGGAGGTCCCACGTGCATGTGTGGGGTGTGCGTGTGCGTGTACGTGTGCGTGTGTGTGTACGTGTGCGTGTGTGTGTGTCTTCTCCTCCCCACCAGGAGCCAGTCTGATCCGTCCTGTCCCTTGTCAGTGCCTGGTACGAGGCCCTGCACAGATGAGTGTTGCTGACATCAGTAGTGGCTTCAGCACGGCACTGGAGTGCGTGGACTCTGGAGCCAAACTGTCTAGATTCACGTCCCAGCTGTGCCACTCAGCAGCTGTGTGACCTTGGACATGTCACGTAACCTCTCTGGGCCTCAGTTTGCTCACCTATAACACAGGGGTGAGAAAGACTAAGTGAATAGTACGCGTAAGGCTCCTTAGGATAGAGCCCGCCACGTGGCAGCTACTCTGAGGGCCAGCTGTTACTATTAGCGGGTTCTGAGCAACTGAGGCTTTGCGTTTTGCACCATCAAGTCAGCTCATCCACAAACTGGGAACTATTCACAAAGCAAATGCTGTGGACAAGCCACGCTGGGCAGGACACAGGACGGGGAGGGCCCTGCCCATGCGGAGTATAGATCCAGTGCATTGCATGGCTACTAAATAAGTACATATGTCACCACAGCGGATGGTTCAGCCACTGATAAATGCCACAAAGAAAGCAAGACAGGGTAACGGGGGAGAGGTTAGCTGGGAAGAGGGGCAGTTTAGAGGGGGCAGACGGGGAAGGCCCTCTGAGGAGGGGGCACGGGGCATGGGCTGGGACCTCAAGGTTGAGGAGTGACTGGTCTGCAGGGTCTGAGGGGACAGCGCCAGCCAGGGGGCAGCACGTGCCAAGCCCGGGTGATGGGCACAGACAGGCACACCTGGGAGGAGCAAACGGCTCCCCGGGCGGAGGGAAATATGGGAACACTTAGCCCCCGAGGCTGGTGACAAGTTTAGATTTTATCTCAAGCACAATGGGAAGGCTTCAAAGCTTTGGAAAACCCAAAGCAAGAACTTCGAGTCTGGGTCTGGGAGGGCCGGCGGGTGCCCCAGCCATGGCCCAGGTAGGGACGGCCCGACAGGGAGGCCATATGGGGTGCAGGAGGTCGGGGCATGCCCGTGTGCCTGGCAGGGACAGGTGACCAGCCCCAGAGGGGAGCAGAGGGTTGGGGAGAGCAGGAGTGCCCTGAGCAGTCCCCAGCGCGGGCTGCTGGCCAATGTGTGTTGACCTTTGAGGCTCTGTTTCTTTATTCAGGTGACCGATAGGTTCCCCTGAGAAACCTGATAAATGCTGTGGACGCTCCCCTCAAATAAATCCCCACCTTCGCTAACAGTCTGTGTCCCCTGGCAGGCGTTCAGACCCCCCTGAAGCCAGAGTCCCTCTGCTCTGCAGCGGCATTTTTCGTTCTTCAGTGTCTCTGTCCGTTTAGTGGGGCATGAGTAGTGCTGCCACATTTAGCAAACAAAAATGTAGGAGGGCCAGTAAAATTTGAATTCCAGGTAAACAGTGAATACTTTTTGAGTATAAGCATGTGCCATGCACTATAAGGATGCCCGGTCCCCACGTGAGGGGGTCTGGCGACCTGCTTCAGGTCAGAGAGTGGTGCCGCACCTGCTGCTTCTCACACGCCTTCGGCTTAAAGCATTCAACATGCTAAGATGCCACATCTTGGGGGTAGTGTACCCTGAATCCCATTGACAGCCTGGCAGGGTGTTGGAAGCCCAGCCTTGAGTCCCAGCTCAGCCACTTGCGACCTTGGTCTGGTGTCTTCTCTCTGGTCCTCAGTTTACCCCTCTGTCGAATGGGGATAGTAGTAGCACCCTGCAGGGCTGCCATGAGTCTTACTGGGTAAGCATCAAAGCTCACAGGGCCAGGCATGCTGGAGATGCTCGACACCATTGGCTGCGGCCACCACCGTCACCATTATAATTGTCCTTCCTACGCAGCGTGAGGAGGGCAAATCTCAGGAAATGGAGTCCCTGGTCACTGGGGGTGACAAGCTGTCACATCCCTGCAGAGTCAAGCAGGTTTGTGAGCCCTTCAGAGGAGCGTGGGTGCCCAGAACCTGCCAGCCTCTGAGGGCCACACCCACCTGGCTCCTGTCCTCCCCCTACCCCAGCTGGTGGAGCTCCACTCGCTCTCTGTCATGTCAGAACACAGTTACCTGTTCACAAGTCCCCTCCCCCAAGAGGGCAGGGTCTTTTCCTTGTGCACCCTGGAGTCTGCAGGCCCCAGTACTGGCCTTGGTACTCCGCAAGTGCGTGCTCAGCAGATACTCAGCGCCTCAGGTGCTTGCAACCTTGCTCATGAATCCCACCTCCTCCTCTTAATGTGGGCCCTGCAGAGCTAAGGATGTGGATCTGTTTCGTTCCCTGCGAGATCCCCAGAGCCTAGAATGGTGCTCAGCACAGAGTAAAACGATCCACAAATGCATAATGAGTGAACATGTGAATGTGTGAACACAATGAAGGGGTGAATGCGTGCATGAATGAGGGCATGCGTTCTAAAGCAGGGGAAAATCATGTTCACGTGCCGTGTGTTCGGTGGCTTCCTTACGACTGGCACTAAGGGCAGTGTGGCTCAGGGGAAACCAGATCGCATCCTGGCTCCACGACACCACAACGGTGTGATCTTGAGTAAGTTACTGGCTCCTCAAAGGCTCGGTGTCACCCCCACAGACCGGGGTTCCTCCTGGGGTTGCTGTGAAGGTAAGTGGGGCAGGGCATGTCCTTAGGGCAGAGCCTGGCCCGCGGTCAGCTTCCAGTCAATGTTATGATGATAAAGCGGAGCCCACCCAGAGGAAGTCTGTGGTCACAGGCATTGCAGCTTCCTTGCCCTGTTCTGTTGTGGTCACCACGCTCATCGATAGCTTCGGCATCATGGTCTTCTGTGCATAGGAACAGTTAGCTGCTGCATGATGAAATCATAAAGCAGCTACTGTGTGCCGGGTTTTTTGGGGTGTGGAGGAGAACAGGCCATCCATTTACTTGAATGCAACCCCCCCCCAAGAGTATTTACCCAAGAGGGTAAAGGCAAAAACACAAATATATATAAATCAGGAATGCATCAGGGAGTGATAAACGCTAGGCTGGGAATTTAAATAGGACACTAGTGGGGAAAGCCTCCCAGAGAGATGCATTTGAACTGATACCTGAGTGTGGTGGAGACGTTGGCCAGGTGAGACCCAGAGGCAGGCCCGTGGGCAGATTTCTAAGGAGGGGCCAGCTTGGCTTGAGAGAAGTCCGGGCTGCTGCAGCTCAGAGGACGCAGAGCCCGGGCGGGGACCAGAGCACAGGACTGACGCCTCCCAGGTGCGGTGAGCCTGTTGGAAGGTAGTTAGCAGGGGAGTGGCATGATCCCACTTTATTCTCTGGCTGCCTCGTGAGAATAAAGAGACAAGTGAGGGGGTTTCCCTTTGGGGAGACTTCTGGCTCAGGGTGGCAGTTGCAGACGTATACTGTCCACGTTCCCTTCTGAAAGGCACAGCTCGCAGGGACAGAGAGAATGAGAGAGCAACAGATTCCAAAAGGTAGAAAGCAGGTGGATAATGGTAGCCAACTTATAGGAACCCAAAACTAACTAACTCCACTGTGGGGACACGCACAGCCAAGGATACCTGACACCAAGGGGAGCTTGGGACGGGTGACAGCGGGACAAAAAGACAAAACACTGGAGGAACCACATTCTGTAGATAAAAAGAAATGGGGCCACAAGACAGGATCCAGGCAAATGGATTCCTGGGCAATGAAGGAAGGCCCCGCGGTAAATGCCTAAGGTCAGGCCTGGAGGTCACTGGTCTAGAGACTGGAGACCCAGAGGCTTGGGAAAGGCCCCAGCAGGATGGTGAAGCTGATAAAAGGGTTTGGTTACAGGAAAAAAAGTTACAAACTAGGGGAGAGTTAGAAACAATGAAAAAAAATATGGCAATTATTAACTCCAGGAGAAACAAAAGGTTGGGTAGGAAAAGAAAAGTTATCAGGGCTGGTCTGTCAATAGTATTTCCATAATCATAATAACACGAACACTGAATGCTTATCTGGCCAAAATTATGATATAAATTATTGCGAGGATGATGCAGGGACTGGGATTATGCATTAGCAGGGAGTGAAGGGGTAGCAGGTTGTGTGTGTGAACCTTCATCTTCCATAGTCAACATGTGACAGGAAATATCTAAAACTGAAGCATCAGAAAGTAGCAGCCTAAGCATGATTTTTAGAACATGGAGTGAAATTCCAAAAGGATCCACTAAGAAACGTGAAACTGGTTGCCTCTCAGGACTGGGACATTGGAGAGACATGGGGTTGGGAGCGGTGCTATCATTTGCACGAACATAGAGCAATTTGACTCTAAATAATTGATGGAAATAAAAAGTAAACAAGTAAAAATTTGAAATTTAGAAATAAATTAAAAGACAAACCAAAAGAAGGAAGGAAGGAAGGTAAGGAAAGAAAGGAGGAGAGAGGGGAGGAAGAAAGCTGCCCCTGCTCGGGCCAGGCCACCTCTTGCTTGTTCGGCACCACCTTCCCCAAGCCTGAGCTCCTCCCGGGAAGAGCAGCCAGGAGCAGAGGGATCTCGGAGGCCAGACACAGATTTGGGGCTCAGCCTGGGGCCAGGAAGTTTGGGGGAGTTGATGTCCGGTGCCTGGAACATGGTGGAGACTCTGCACACTGGCCGAGTGAATGCATTAATTTCTGTTTCTCTCCAGTTCTGCAGCTCATCAAGTCACAGAAGTTTCTAAACAAGTTGGTAATTTTGGTGGAAACAGAGAAGGAGAAGATCCTGCGGAAGGAGTATGTTTTTGCTGACTCTAAAGTAAGTGACAAGAAGCTTCTGAGAGGGGCCAGAAGACTGGGGGGGACTTTTGTGCTTTGAGGCTCGCTATGGCCAGGGAGTGCATGTCATCAGCTCACTGGTTCCCAGAACAACCCCTTTCACACCGGGAAAGCTGAGCTCAGTGAAGTTAGGACCCAGTTCCAACCAGCATTTGAGCAGTTGCAGCTCTGGCTGTCCCAGGGCATGGCGGCGTCCCAGCGTGCCACGCTGCCTCTTGGCCGGGGTGCATCCTTGGCCGGGGTGCATCCTCTCACCCAGCCCTGGGCCTGCTTGGCAGGCTTTTTAACTTCTCTAGGCTGGACTTGGGAGCCCTTTGGGGTACCCCTCCCTTGCTCTAAATCTGCGTCCTGACAAGGCTTCCGTTTCTACATTTCTGCCCTATCCTGCAGAAGTGAGACCCCTGCCAGGACTGGCCCCTGGGGTGAGAGGTGCTGAGAGCCAGAGGGAAAACCCGGGCTGGGCCCGCGGACAGCCAGAGCCCGGTTCTCTAAGACCTGACCCCTCACCGGGGAAATTTGAACCAGGGTCCAAAACCCATCATCACAGCCCCACTGTTTGTGCTCTACTGAACAGCTCGCGTGAGGCAGTGAGAATGGCTCACAGAGAAGTTAGGGCGCCCATCACGCCAGGTGCCGGCTGACACCTCATGTGGGGCACCTCAGACAAGGCCAGGGGACAAGGACTGCTGGTGCGGGCTCACAGCAGTAGCCCCTGCCAAGTGCCCGTACCCCGCTCCTACTTGCACCTGCAGAGTGGCAGGGGTGGCCTGGTGGGAGATCTGGGGGTGCCTGGAGCTGCAGGAATGACGGGGAAAGGGCTGGGAGAAAAAAAGGGAGCAGGGACTGAACAGGTAGTGGGAGGCGGAGAGGAAGACCACCTGGCTGGGCAGCGTTCTCAGCACATGGGCACAAGTCCAAAACCCAGTCAGTTGCCACGAGCTCAGAAGGATGGAGACACAGGGATAAACTGAGGCATGGAATTGTGTGCCATCCCCAAGTACAGGCAGGTTTCGACAAAGACAGTCATTACATTTCCATGAGCTGGTTTCTTCAGAGGGGCTTCCCGAGGTTTGCAATTATTAGGTCGAATCCTATGAAAATTACTGTCCTTGTAGGTATGAAACAGTCAAAGATTGGTCATGTCTTATGGTCCAACTTGCAATTTTGTGTAGCCCCATTGAAAGTCAGCCTGCGACTAAGACAGGGCAGAGTCTGCTTTGGGCCCTACCGTGTACCGAGAAAAATAAGTGAAAGATATTAAGGAGGAGGCCATGGCAGCCTTCATGTGCTCTTTTCTTTTTAATTAGTTTCTCTAATTTCTTTCATTACACAAGTGATCTATTCTCATTGGTGACACAGCAGCAAATACAAAGAAGCAAACGTTTAAAATAAAAACACCCATATGCCCCTAGTTAACCTTGGACCATACCCGTCCAGATGTTTTTTAAAATTAAAAATACAACAATGATATTCATACCATTTTGACAACTGGCTTTTCGTACTTAATGATATATTGTTGCCACCTTTCTTGTTAAAGTATTTCTGGGCCATAATTTTTAGACGCTATGGTATTCAAGCATATAAATGGTCCAGAATACAATTATTAATGAACCCCTAAGATATGACATTAAGATTGTTCCTGAATTTTTTCTGTATTGAAGCATGTCCTGCAGGGCCATGTTTGGATCTCAATGCAGTTCTGAATGTTTTCTTATGTTTTCCTGATATTTTCCAACTTTGCAGCAGAATGGCTGGGTCAGACGAGCCACTTGCTTACAACTTTGCAAGTGCATGTTTCCAGGTTGCTGTCCTGAAAGTTCATACTGATTTACACTCCTCAGTTTTCTAGAAGCTGCCAAGTCCTTTACATAGGGTAGTGTGCAAGGCAGCAGAGCCTGTCTGAGTCTGTCTGCCCTTCCATCCCTAGAAGAGAGAAGGCTTCTGCCAGCTGCTGCAGCAGATGAAGAACAGGCACTCGGAGCAGCCGGAGCCCGACATGATCACCATCTTCGTCGGCACCTGGAACATGGGTAGGTCCCCGAGCCCCTCCCCCAGCTGCCCCCCTTTGGTTCCGCTTCCTCGCCTCAGCTGTCCTCAGATGGTGTTGGAGGGGCTGTACCCCTCTCTCCTTCCTCCCTGCACCTGAGACGATGGGTAATAACAATGAGCTCTGGAACTACTGTACCCCAAGAGCAGCTGGAGTGAGTTCCTTTGCATGTCTAAATTGGCAGGTGTTAGGGAAAGGGGCTGAATATCTCCACGAAGGGGCTCGTGGGTGCCCTGCCAGCCTTAGGCGGCTCGCCAAGGAGCCCCAGGTCTGGAAGAAAGATGGCCCCCCATTGTGAGAGAGAAACAGGTAGATAGATGGAAAGAGGGTGCTCAGTTAAGTTTAAATTCATATAAACAACAAGGCATTTTTTAGCATAGGTATTGAGCTAGCAATAAATTCTAAATATATATGCTAAATATATGTTAATATTTGAATATATTTTATATACTAAATACATAAATATGGTATATTCTAAATATTTCATGTAACTATTTAGCTAGAAATAAATATTTAAGAGATACTAAATATATATTGTATTAAATTACATATACTATGTATATGTGTACTAATATATATTTATCATAAGTAACTTTTTAGTGTAAGTATTCAGCTAGAAATAAATTATTAGATAGAAGTCAGTTAAATCTGGATTTCAGATAAACAGCTATCGCACGGAGCGTCCTTATTCTAAAAACTACTCATTCATCTGAAATTTTAATATAACTGGGTGTCCTGTGTCCCCTCCCCTTTGTCCCGAGCAGAGTCAGGCCCACCCCAGTAGCGCGGGGAGGAGGCAAGAGCGGAGCCCTTCCTGGAGGGGCAGGGACCTTGTGGAAATGAACTGGCAGCCTGGGACTTGTGGGTGGCCTGCTGGGCGGAGGGTGGGCCGGGGCCTCAGGAGGGAAGGCAGGAGGCCTCAAGTCCCAGCGGCTTCTGCTGGCCTCCCGAGGCAGTTCTGCATGGTGTCAGCCCTCCCTGTGCCTTCAATGCCTCCCGGGCCAGTCAGTGCAAGCCCAGATGTCCCAGGGGCCAAGCAGAGCTGAAGTAGAGCCTGGCCCGTGCCCTGGGAGTCTTGTTGGCTGCCTGATTTCCTGCTGGGGACATAGCCAGGGCTGTCCTTTGCTCAGTGGTGGGGGGTGGGGGGCAGTTAGCTCTTCATTAAAGGGCATTGTGGGAGCAGCAGACCTTTCATTATTCCTTAAGCTGGTTCGATCCAGTTTGAAGTGGGATGGGGGGCTTCCACGTTCTTCCCGTTTCTCTAGCTAACACCCGTGCATCTCGGCTCTTGGCTGAGCTCTGAGTCTTGCAAGGGAGCTTTTGTTGTTTCCTAACAATGGGGTAGAAGCTGCCACCCTCAACTTGTCAGCCTACTTGGCTGTCTCTGAAATAGAATGGAAGCTCCCTGAGGGACAAAACTGTGTCTCAATTGCATGGCAGCCTCAGACTGTAGGACAGTGTTTGACATCAGGGAATCTTCCAGTGCTTCTATTTTTTGAAACTTAATGTTATCAGTAAAACGAGGCTTAACTGAGTTCGCCCCTGGCGGCCATCCTGGGCACTCAGGTCTCCATCTCGCATTTGGTTGGCTGCCCGGATGACCTTGTGTGATCATGTGACCTCCCCCCACATGCCCCCTGCTCTCTGTTTTGAATTCTGATGCTGTTGACTGGATGTGCCTTTGACTCACTTGGTGTTGGGTTTTGCTATTGAAGGTAACGCCCCCCCTCCCAAGAAGATCACGTCCTGGTTTCTCTCCAAGGGGCAGGGAAAGACGCGGGACGACTCTGCCGACTACATCCCCCACGACATCTACGTGATCGGCACCCAGGAGGACCCCCTGGGTGAGAAGGAGTGGCTGGAGATCCTCAAACAGTCCCTGCAAGAAATCACCAGCATGACTTTTAAAACAGTGAGCAGCTGGCCGCACCCCGGGTGGGGCTCCGGGACAGGGGGAGAGTCTCAGAAGCAAGGGCAGGCTCAGCCTGTCACCTGTCCACTTCCAAAGGTGTCTGGGGGCTCAGTGGTTCCCCCCCACTTCCAGGGCCAGAGAGATGCACCTGTGTTCAGAAATGGATGGGGTCCATGGGGTGTTGCTGAAAACTGCTCGGTCCTCTGTCTTCCCCGCCCTCAGTCAGCCCCATTCCCATCTTTAAGATGCTTGGTCACCTCGGTTGGGCATCATTAGGCGTGCCCCCGAGGTTAGGGATTGCAGACAGGGTACTCTGGGGCTGGGGTGGGTATGAATGGCCATGCTCTGGGTCCAAGCCCTACACCTTGGCGAGGGTCACAGCCTTGCCCCCCCCACACCAGGTGGCCATCCACACGCTCTGGAACATCCGCATGGTGGTGCTGGCCAAGCCGGAGCACGAGAACCGCATCAGCCACATCTGCACGGACACCGTGAAGACCGGCATCGCCAACACGCTGGGTGAGCGGGGAGGGGTCCCCCGCGCGCTCTGCCTCAGCTTTCGTGCCCATGTCATCCGGGCCCTGCTGGACTTCCCCGGATTAAAACCAGAGCCCTGGGCAAATGGGATGGTGGGTCCCCCTAGCTGGAACGCACCCGGGGTCCACACCAGCGCTCGTGGGGCTCTGGCTAAACCACAGGCTCCACTCAAGTCAGTCTTGGGGGAGCCCGAGCGTCCGAGATGCTGACAGGCGCCCAGGCGGCGTCAGTGCTGCTGGTCAGTCCCCCGACCCCACTTGGAGTAGCAAGAACTTGCCACAGGGTGGACAGTCTTTTGCGGGAAAGGGCCAGACACTAAACAATTTAGGCTCTGCAGCCCGTACACAGCCACTCGTACACAGCCACTCGTACACAGCCACTCGTACACAGCCACTCGTACACAGCCACTCGTCTCTGCCTTTGTGGCGTGAAGGCAGCCACTACCACCACGAAAAGTGAACGGCCGTGGCTGTGTCCTAGTAAGACCTCATGTGCAGACACAGGCCGGCGTGGCCAGCCCGACCCAGGTCCTCACTCCGCAGGGTGGATCTGGAAACGGCAGTTGAAAGGCGGTGGGGCTCATGGGGGCCATCAGAGAACCGAAATCGGAGCAGGCAGGCCGCGGGGGTGGGGCGGAGTGTGTGTGGGTGCGCCCTATATCCGAGAGTGCGCTCGTCAGCGTGTGAGCGTGCCAGCCGTGCGCGCGGCTGTGTGTTGACGCGGGTGTGTACGTGAGTGGGGGGGCGTGCATGGGTCCCCGTGCCCGTGTGTCGGTGCCTGTGGGGACCTGCACACTCTCAGGGCCTCGGGGGGCGTGGAGGGCGAGGCCAGCGCTTTCTGGTGGCTGGAGCCGGGGACAGGACAGGGTCCCAGGGGTAACAGGAAACAGAAGAACCGCTGCAGTCGAACGGGAAAAGCGCTCTCTCCTTTTCTGCTGACAAGCTGCAAACTGCCCACGTCCACCCCCACCCGGCCCCCTTCCTTCCTGCCACAGTGGCAGGTGGGGCTGGCGCGGCTGCCCTGGGCTGCGCCCGCGCTCTTCTGTGGCCTGGGAGGCGCCGTGTCCAGGGTCCGCCTCTCCTGGCTTCCAGCCTCGCCTGCCCGCCCCTGCCCCACCTCGTGGGACCCGCCTGTGTCTCTTGTTGCAACAGAAAACCACGCCCCACCCCTCCCCGGCCAGGCCTGGCGTGGGGCTACAGCCCCATCCTCCCAGCCGAAGCTGGGCCAGTCCCCAGGAGGCCTGCCCGCGTGCACGCCAGCGGGTGGTGGGAGAGCCGGGTGGTGGGAGAGCCGTGTGCTGGCGCGGGAGGGTGCGGCATGGGGCACGGAGGTGTGGGCGCTACCAGAGGTGGGCACTCAGGGGCCTCTCGGAGCGGGGCCGGGAGACTGAAGTCTGAGGGGCGAGGAGGGGGCCTGGGCCGAGTCTGAGCTTTACAGCCAGAGGGGAAAGGCTCCCCCCTACGGCCAGCCTGCCTTCCCCGCTACTCGGAAATGGCTCCCAGCCGTTAGTACAGGACTCTTGGAACAGCCCAGGCCTCTTCTAGAGCGTGCCCTGTGCAAGGCTGGGTGCTAATGCTTTACGAGCACAATCTCAGTGAAGGTACACAATCAGTGGGGCAGGGACCGTTCTCCCCATTCACAGAGGAAGAAACCGAGGCTATAGGGAAGTTCCATAACTTGCCCAGGAACCAGTAGTAAGAAAGTGGTGGGCAGGGACTGGAACCTAGGTGGGGCTCGGAGCCAAAAGTCCAACCCGGGCTGCCCTGCGGGAAGGGGAGGAGAGGCGTCCCGGAGTAGGGCCCGGAGGGCAGGAAGCCTCTGCTCTGCCTGGCCCTGTCCCCCACTGGCGTTGCTGGGCTGCAGGTCCCCTTCTGAGGCTGGACTGGAGCTGGCTGTGCCGGACCTCCAGTGTCCCTGCAGCTTGCCGTCCACCCAGAGCCGTGCAGCCGAAATAAGACGGGAGCTAAATAGATCTTTTTGGCCAGGCGCGGTGGCTCACACCTGTAATCCTAGAACTCTGGGAGGCCAAGGTGGGCGGATCGCTCGAGGTCAGGAGTTCAAAACCAGCCTGAGCAAGAGTGAGACTCCGTCTCTACTAAAAATAAAAAGAAATTAATCTGCCAAAATAAATAAATAAGTAGATAGATCTTTTTAAATTTTCTGGTAGCCACATTAAAAATAAAAGGAAACAAGAGAAGCTCATTTTAATAATAGACTTTATTAAACCTCATACATCTGAAATGCTATTGTTCCACTAAGCATTCCAGGTACAGTGTTATCAGACGTTTCACACCCTGCTTTCTCACCGAGGCCACTATTCCGACATTTGTTTCGTGCTCACAGCCATCTCATTTCGGACCGGCTGTGCTTCCAGTGCTTCAGTGGCTCGTGGCTGCTGTTCTGGGCAGAGCCGTCTCCCAGAGGGGTTGGCAATCTTTTCCTGCAAAAGGCCAGACGGTGACACTTCAGGCTCTGGAGGCCATGGGGTCTCTGTGGCGACTGCTCAGCTCTGTCCTGTAGCCCAAAAGCAGCGACGCACGATACCTACTTGAATGGCAGGGCTGTGTTCCAATCAAATGCTCTTCGTGAGCACTGAGATTTGAATTTCATATTTTAATATGTCACAAAAGACTTTTTCTTTTGATTTCTTTCCCCAGTCATTTAAAAATATAAAAACCATGTTTAGCTGGCCGTGGGCCAGTGTTTGTCCACTCATGGCCTGGAGGGTTTGTGAAGAACAGATTACTGGGCGCACTCTATAATTTCTGATCCAGTAGGTGTTGGTGGGGGGGGGGGCGCCTGAGAATCTGCCCTCCCCACAAGTTCCCTGGTGCTGCTCTGGGGAACACGCTTTGAGAACCGCTAGTCTGAAATAGATCAGAACGTAGGCGGAAAAGCTGTGCTCTCAGTGCAGGTTTGAGTCTCACCTGGAGCCTTCAGTGAGCAGGGAGGGAGGTCAGGCCACCAGCCCAGGCACCTCCTTCTGAGTCTTATTTCGGAGGCTTCTGGCTGCTTCTATCAATCGTCCCTGGCCGCTTGGCATGCTGGTCACTTTAGAGAGAGACGCCAGGAGTGGGTTGCAGCAGCATCCCCTACTTCCAGGCCCCCTGGGCCTCTCACCTGCCTCTTACTCTGGCCTTGCCTTGACTTCCTAACCCCTGGCAGGTTTGCCTGTGTGATATTCTGGTTCTTCTCTCTCCCCCTCCCTTTAGGGAACAAAGGAGCTGTGGGGGTGTCCTTCATGTTCAATGGCACCTCCCTGGGGTTTGTGAACAGCCACTTGACTTCAGGAAGTGAAAAGAAACTCAGGTAAGGCAGCCCATCCCCCAGGGCCAGAACCGGTCGTTTGCCCACCGACCTCAGACCCCTCAACCCCAGAGCCCCCGCCCGGGACCTTTTGGGTGTCCTGCAGCCTTTAAGGGCTTTTCATGGTCTCATTAAAAGGCAACTGCAGCACAATAGTGACCTCATGTGTGGGTGAATTTTGTCTGAAGGTTAGAAAAGATACGTCTCTGTCTGTAAGCTGATGTACCCCAATACCACTCTGTCACTGAAGGGAAGCTGCATGGGACGGCTTCACAGGGCAAAGCCTGCTCTGCCTATCAATTCCTGAAGGCAGCAGCCGTCTAGATTATTCGCTGTTCTGAGTCCCCGCTGAGTCCCGTAGCACAGTGCGGACCAGCGACCCCGTACTAGGTGGCCGCTTTTACCTTGCGTTAGGCGAAACCAGAACTACATGAACATTCTCCGGTTCCTGGCCCTGGGAGACAAGAAACTGAGTCCCTTCAACATCACTCACCGCTTCACTCACCTCTTCTGGCTGGGAGACCTCAACTACCGCGTGGATCTGCCCACCTGGGTAAGGAAACGCCGAGGCCTGGGGCCGAGGCCACACGGGACGGGGTCCCCGAGTCAGCGCCAGGCAGACAGCCGTGCAGACACAGGGACCGAGCTGGCAGACGGCGACTCCCTCGGGGACTCACTGCTGCTCCTGGTGCAGAGCCGCGGCCCCTCCTTTCGGCTCCACCTGCTGTCGCCCAGGGGTGCCACGGCCACCCCTTCTCCCACCGCTCTGCCGCCTGGGTCGCCCAGCTCTGGGCCATAGCCCCTCAGCGGCCGGATCGGAAGGGAAGGGCTGTCTCACCCGCGGCCGGGGCGTGTCCTTGTTCCAGGAGGCAGAAGCCATCATCCAGAAGATCAAGCAGCAGCAGTACGCGGACCTCCTGTCCCACGACCAGCTGCTCACGGAGAGGAGGGAGCAGAAGGTTTTCCTGCACTTTGGTGAGAGCCCAGGCCCTGCTCGCGGCCGGCTCCCCTCTCCCCACCCAGCACCCTCGCGGGTGGCAGGGCTGTGCCTGGACAGCAGGGACAGCTGGCGGATGTGAGCCTGGGGGGGTCAGGATTGAAACCAAAGTGTCTGTTTTTCAGAGGAGGAAGAGATCACGTTTGCACCGACCTACCGTTTTGAGAGGCTGACTCGGGACAGATACGCCTACACTAAGCAGAAAGCAACCGGGGTGAGTGCTCCACCACCCCGCTCGTGCCTGTGCCCAAAGGCAAGCAGAAAGTAGAGAGCGTCCTGGGCCACTAGGCAAGGAAAAGGAAAGGGAAGAGCAAGCATTAGAAAGCAAGTGATGATTTGTGCCACAGCGAAAGGGCATCTGGACTTGTGCACTGCAACAAGCTGGACTGATAACTCTTATGATTTACCTTCTGTCCAGGTATTCTGAGATTCTGAGAGGATTTGAAACCATTCTTTCCTTAACTGGGTTCTGAAGCTCATTTTTTTAAAAAAAAAAAAAAAGTCCTGTGATCAAATATACTTGCTAAACTGCCAAGTGAATCAACACCAAACAGGTTTCTTCACTGCAGGACTTACCAGAGCCTTTGGAGGTACAAGAACGTTTTGGTTCTCCATGAGGAAATCTGTGTGCCAAACTCAATTGATCATGGAATACTAATTAATATCTTCTTATGAGGCCATGAGGATCAGTGTTTGGGGAAAGATGCAATAAAAATATTTATTTATCCATTTGTTCAGAGAAACTTGCTGGTGGCCTGATGAGAGTTAGGCACTGTCGTAGGTGTTGGGGGGGCGGGGATGAATGAGATGTCATCTCACTCACGAGATGAGACAAGAGAAGTGCACAACTACCGGTAACTAGAGGCAGAATGTGGCCACGGCAAATGCATCGAAGAGCAGTCAGAGAAGGAAACGGCCAGGGAGCAGGAAAGAGAAGGCAGCCCATGGCAGGGTCCCGAGGGTTAGAGGGCCGCCCGCGGTGGTGAGGTACCCAAGGCAGCCAGACGTCCAGGGAAAGGCAGAACAAGCTCCAAATGTCTCCAGAAAGAGTTCTGGGCACCAGCTGGGCTCAACCGGCAGGGGCAGGAACCATTCAGAACTGCTGCCACGAATGAGGCTGACTCGGGATGGGACCCCCCCTTGTGAGGTGTTCGCTGACTGCTGCGTGGAAGGGCTCACCTGGGCTAAAGCCACCACCGTGAGGGCAGGACCACAGGGCCACATGTGCGGCCGATGCAGGATGGCCTGGTTTGACTTGGGCTCACGTTGAAACAGACGGGGCCTGAGATGGGAGAGTGGGGTGTCCTGGATGCCAGGAGGTGACAGGCAACAGGAAGCCACTGAAAGTTCTGCTGGGCTTTAGTGGCATCGAAGTGGCACAGAAAGAATTTTGGTCATGTCACTATAAAGGGTGAGGGTGACGCAGGGCACCAATGAGGAGGCTGTTATGGTGTTTTCCAGCTGAGCAGTAATTCGAGCCTGGGTCAGGGAGACAAGCAGTGAAAATGAAAGAAAAAGAGAAAAGCAGGATCCACCGGAAGAGCTGATTGCCCTCCACCAGGGTGGATGGATGAGTGTGTGAATGGGTGGGTGGAAGAGGAGATGAGTGGATGGGGAGATGAACAGGCGGATGGGTGGATGAATAGGTAGGGGGCTGCTGGCTGGAGTGTGTTATTAAAGTAAGTAGCTGGAGAAGGCGAGTAGAGTCCGGGTTGAAAATACACGTTCATCTGAGTAGGAAAGAAAGTAACTGAAGGTGAAGATACAAGAGCTATTGACGTAGGCAGGAGGACAGGTGAGGGAACACAGCCGGGTGGATTGATCTTGGTCTAAAGCGGGATGTCTGAGCGTGTGGGGCACGGCAGTGGAGTTGGGACTTGAAGCAATTAAAAGATGAATTCGAGGATTGCAGAGGCCACCCGTTAATGCTTTCTGTTGCTGATTAAACAAAAAGCAGCAGGCATTTTACAAAGCCCGTGACCTTGATTTGCAGATGAAGTACAACTTGCCCTCCTGGTGCGACCGGGTCCTCTGGAAGTCGTATCCCCTGGTGCACGTGGTGTGTCAGTCCTACGGTGAGTTGAAACGCCGGGTGACAGCAGACCAGGTTCAGAGAACAGAACCACAGTGGGAGGCAGGACTGCCCTAAAAGGAAAGGGCTTCAGTCTGTTCATCCATAAAACAGAAACACTGCCTCCAGCCCTAACCAAGTGACCAGAAAGAGTTGGTGTGTCCCCACCCATCTGGGGCTGCAACATAAATACCCCCTGCTTTGGGAGATATTTGCATTACGGCATTTTTTTCTTTTTCTTGACAGAGTCTCATTCTGTTGCCCAGGCAAGACTGCTGTGGCATCAGCCTGGCTCACAGCAACCACAAACTCCTGGGCTCGAGCAATCCTCCTGCCTCAGCCTCCTGGGTAGATGGGACTACAGGCATGTGCCATCATGCCTGGCTAATTTTTTCTATTTTTAGTTGTTTGGCTAATTTATTTATAGTAGAGACAGGGTCTCGCTCTTGCTCAGGCTGGTCTCAAACTCCTGAGCTCGAGCAATCCTCCTGCCTCGGCCTTCCAGAGTGCTAGGATTACAGGCAGGAGCCATTGTGCCTGGCTTACAGAGCACTTTTTAAAAGAAATTCAGTTTTATTTCTTTTGAAGAGAACATATTAGATTGGAACCATATGGAAGTGGTATTTTCATCTGTCAAAAATCAACTATTGGAAATTCATATGTTTCAACCTAATACATAAGTGTACATACATGTATTTAGGAAGGTTTAAAGGTAAATTGAGTTAAATTGATGAAAAGGGCATAATATACAGAATTAAAATAATTATGGAATAAGTTATATAAACAATTAAGAAATAACTGTTGACCCTACAAGTTTAAGATATGCTGAAGGAGTTCTTAATTTCCTCGCTGCTTATTCGTAAAAGCTACTGATTAGTTCCTATTCTTGCAAAGTGAGACCTTAAAAATTCACAGGGCAGAATTAGTTAGAACACTTTATGGACTGAGAATCATGGCATTATTTTTGAAACATCTTAAATTCCCAGAGAGTGGTGTCCAAAGGAGGGTCATCCTGTTCCTCAGGTGCACCTCATATGAGCAGGTCACAGGCCAGGATCCTGGGATGGGCAGCTCACGACCCCAGGCCTGTCCAGCTGGGCACTCTTGACCCCAGCCTCCCTCAGAGTGAGGAGCAGGGGGACTCTTGCTACTACCCAGTGGCCACTTTCCTGGCTCCCACTCTCTCTGGGGACCAGCAAATCAGTCCCACAAATTTAACTCTGGTTGCACGAGTTGAACTGATTTCCATTCCTTCTATTACTGAATAACAAACTACCCTAAAACCTAGTTGCTTAAACCAACCATTTATTTGCTCACAATTCAGTGGGCCGGGCTGAATTTGGACTGTTCCTCCCTGCTCTAGTTGGTGTTGGCTGGGCACGGTCAGGCAGGAACCCACTCGGATCTGGAGTTGGCTGGCTGGGGGCTGGGGGCAAGGGTGGCAACTCACCCTCCAGCGGGCTAGTGCAGGCATCTTCACTTCCTGGTCTCAGGGTTTCTATCTGCAAGACTCACCTGTAGGAACTATGAAAATTTTAAAGACTCTGTTTGCCTCACATTTACGAGATCTCGTTGGCCAAAGGAAGTCACATGGCCAAGCCCAAAGTCACTGTGGTAGGAGGCCACAGAGAGGGTGTGGTTACTGGGAGGTGTGGTTTCATTGAGGGCCACACATCTAACAGTCTGCCTCCCAGGTTTAAGGGCACATTGTTGTGCCATTGCTATTATGTTTAATGCATATCTAAAATAGTTTGAGAGGTCGGGCTGGTGGCTCATGCCTGTAATGCTAGCACTTTGGGAGGCTGAGGCAGGTGGATCACTCAAGGTCAGGAGTTCGAAACCTGCCTGAGCAGGAGCAAAATCCCGTCTCTACTAAAAATAGAAAGAAATTAAACTAAAAATATAGGAAAAAAAATTAGCCGGGCATAGTGGCACATGCCTGTAGTCCCAGCTACCTGGGAGGCTGAGGCAGGAGGATTGCCTGAGCCCAGGAGTTGGAGGTTGCTGTGAGCTAGGCTGATGCCACGGCACTCTAGCCCAGGGCAACAGAGTAAGACCCGGCCTCAAAAAAATAAAAAAATAAAAATAAAATAAAACAATTTGAGAACATTATGAAAAACCTGCTCATCAGGGTTTTAACTTCACCCTGGAACATCCTGTCCTTTGCAGCCACCAAAAACTGGTAGCCCTGCAGCCTGCCCCACTCCTGAACTCCATCCTGTCCTGCTTTAGACAGCACTGGGCCTCTCTGACTTCTTCCTGCTCATGTCCAAACAGCTTTTAGGCTGATGCCCTCCCAGGAAACATTATTATCTTTCTTTCCTGGATAACCTTTCCACCTGGACCCTTGACTCCCTCTCCTTTTCCTCCACAGCCAGTGGCCCCACTCTCTTCCTTCTCATCACCCTCTGTCTCCATTCCATCTCATTGTTTCAGTTTGGCTTTCTAGTGATCCTTAGCAAGGGAAATTTTTTATGTTTCTTAGCCATCTGTACTTCTTTGGTGAATTTTCTGCTCATATCCTTTGCTTGGTTGAGTAGTGGGGTGCTCATCTCTTCTTACTGATGTGTAAAAGCTTTATAGAAAAAAATACCAAATCTGCTTTGTCACCTTCTTGGTCTCCTATGCAGTTTTTCCTTTGCCTGCCCATTTATGGTTGGTGTGTCCTGGAAATCCATCCTCATCTCTTCTCACCCTTCGTATCTTCCCTGTGAAAGCCCAAATGTCCTCATGGCTTCTGCTTCCACCTTATTTCATGACTCCAAATCTAAAGATAAATCTCCAGCTTTGAGTGCCCAGGTTCCTGCCAGACATCTCCCACTGGCTGTCTCAAAAGTATTCGGTCTGCTAGAACTATTCCTTTTCTCTTCCCCTGCAAATGTGCTCCGGTGCCTTCCCCTCTCACCCGAGCTCCAAGCTCTTTAACAGACATGTCTACACTTAGTGTCTACACTTCATCACCTTCCTCTCTCTCCTGATCCTGCAAGTCACCATGGGGTGGGGAAGGTGCCCTGTCTGTCTCACTGATGAGCTGAATGACAATAAGTCCTCATCCCACTCTGCAACTTGGGCTCCTCATCAGTAAAATAAAGTGATTAGAGCAGAAAAATCTCCATGGTTCACACTCCATAATCTGTTTAAAAATTCATAAGTTAGCCAGGTGCAGTGGCTCATCAGACCTGTAATCTCTGCTTTGGGAGGCTGAGGCAGGAGGATCACTTGAACCCAGGAGTTGGAGGTTGCAGTGAGCTATGATGACGCCACAGCACTCCAGCTTGGGTGACAGAGTAAGACTCTGTCTCCAAAAAAAATTCACGAGTCTTTAGGAAAAACTAGCACAGGCTTATTTTATCTATGGAGAAGGCAGTGTACACACTTTATTTCACAGAACACTCGAAGGACAGCAGGTGCAACATTGTGCCACTCCTGGAGGGCTTCGTAATGAGAGTTTATTTCTGCCTTGGGCTTGCCATCCATGGCTTGACCAGAAGGGCTTCCCTGCCCTGCTCAGAAATGCCTTCCCTCCCTGCAGGAAGTACCAGCGACATCATGACGAGCGACCACAGCCCCGTCTTTGCCACGTTTGAGGCAGGCGTCACTTCCCAGTTTGTCTCCAAGAATGGTAAGCAACGAGCAATGTCCCTTTCTCTGTGTTCCTCAAAGACAAGGGCCATCGGGCACTCATCTTCTGGTTGCCGCGGTCAGTTGTCTGCGTTAGGCGACTTACCTTCTGGGTGAGTGCACAGCCCGTCGGTCGGGGCTCTTCGTGTCTGAGCCACCTCACAGTTTCAGTCCAGGGAATTTATTTGCTCTGTTTGGCAAATACGTCAGCCTTCTGAGCCTCGGTTTTAGCGCAGTCTGGAAAATTGGGTAAATCGGTGCAGCCTATCTTCGACCAAAGACAATTCCAGCGGGGACATGAGTAAAATGAGTTTAATATGTTTTAAATTTGTCCCTTCTATGTAAGGCAAGCAACATTGATTTTCCATTTAGTGTTGTGATATACTTTATTTAATCACATTTAAATTTAAAAAGTGAGTCTATTGAGGGAAAATATTAAGTAAATAGCAGTGCAGGTGCGTGGCGGGCAGAGACAGTAAACATTGTTAAGGTGGGATGCAGATGACTGAGTTTGGGGAAACCACTGGCATAAATTTAGATTTGCAGGTAATCTTTCAAATAATCCAGCTCAGCCCTGGCTGCCAGGCCACCCTGGGCCTAGCAGAGGCCAGGCATCCTCTGCGGTGTGTCCATTTTGCTCTCGGCCTGGGTGACCAGGGGCCATGTCTGCTCTGCCTGCTCCCTACTCCCGTGGTTGGCAGACCATCCAGGCTCATTTAGGAAGCTGGGACTACTGGGGAGACTGCGGTAGCGAGGTTAAGGGTGTTGCCACAAGCCACGCAGATTCAGAGACAAGCCTGAGACTAGGTCTTTGCCCCTCGAACCCTTCGCTCTTTCTGCTCGGCTTCCTGCCATGGCAGTTCACAGCACAAGGCCACAACCATGGCCGGGACGCTCAGAGTGGGTGGCATATTTAGATGTAGCTTTATTTCGAGGAAAACGTTTCCTTTCGCTGGACTCCCACCTCCCTCTGGCCCTAAGAAGGAGCTCAGTACGTTGAGTGAGAAGCCAGGGGGAAGATCCTTGGGAGGGAGGCTGATTTGAAACGCTCTGTCTCCAAACTCATGAAGCAACTAACTGACTCCCGCTCTGCGCTGTTGCAGGTCCCGGGGCTGTGGACGGCCAAGGGCAGATCGAGTTCCTCAGGTGCTACGCCACGCTGAAGACCAAGTCCCAGACCAAATTCTACCTGGAGTTCCACTCGAGCTGCTTGGAGAGTGAGTGGCTGCTAACGTGCCTTTCGGTGGGCAGGCCGCGGCCCGTGCTCGCAAATGCCTTCCTGTGAGCGGTGCTTCGCCCCGGGTCTCCTCTCCCCGGGAAGGACTCTCGGAGCGGCCTCCGAGGGGTCAGAGAAGTTTGCAGGTGGAGGGCCCTAGGGGACTCCAGCTACTATGAGGGGCCTCCTTGCGGCCTGCAGCGCTGCTGCTCTGGCCCTGGGGGCAGGGGCAGCCACGCATGTACAAGCCCCACATTCTCCCTTGGGGAGTGGGCTCCCCTCCCTGTCTGCTCAGGGCAGGCTGTAACCCCCCTGGCATCCCCCAAGCCAGGGCTCTGACGCTACCAGAGGGTGCTGGGCAAAGTCCCGGAGCTTGTGGAGCTGGCTGCCTGGTGCCCCTGGTGGCCCCGGCTCCTGCGTCCTGCTCTTTCAGGATTACGGCATCTTAGGGTGTCCACTGCAGCCGAAAGCAGGTTGGGGATGGACAGCTTCCTCCAAGCCAGCAGCATGTAGCACGCACCTCCTGTGTTTAGAAAACGCCCTTCCTGCGTGCCACTCTAGGCGTATTGTCTGAAGCTGTTCCGTGGCTAGGAAAGCTCTGTGCCGCATCTAGCTCTCCACCGAGGGGGGGTGGAGGATGGGCGGGGCGTGGCAACTCCACAAAAGGAGGCGTCCTGTGAGGGCATGGCTGGGTGCTTCTGGAAATCGGGAAGAAGACATGTGCCACCAGCGACCACTGTGCCCTCCGGGCCCCTTCCTTCTCCGGCCCGACCCAGCCCAGCCACGGCAGAGGCTGCCGCTGAGGCCCCAGGCCCCGGTTCTGCAAGCAGGGTTCAAAGCAGTTCCAAAAAGGACGAGGATTTTTGTGCGGGTGTTTTTAATAAACTATCGAGACACTTGCACACATTTCTATGGAAACAGCATATTAGGAAGCTTAAATTAGAATTTCAAAAGGCTGCTATCTTGAGTGGCGTGGGATGAGCTGTCATGTTTCCTAATCTTCTTGCCTGTGATGTGATGATTTCTTTGTTGCCTGGTTTGTCACAAAGGAGGAACCGAAAAGGAGGAGGAATCTCTTTGATTTTCCTAAAAATAATTAGACCGTGTTGGCAAATGACCATCCCCTGCACAAAAACAGAATTCCCAGCTGCCCTGACTCCTAAATGACGCCGAGACCCCGAAAGACAGGAAAGGAGGGAGGGCCTCTTCCTGCCCCGGGAGTCTCTTCTGTCTGGCTCTTGCTCCGTCTTCAGAAAACCAGACTTCTTGTCCTCCAACAGGTTTTGTCAAGAGTCAGGAAGGAGAGAATGAAGAAGGAAGTGAGGGGGAGCTGGTGGTGAAGTTTGGCGAGACCCTTCCAAAGGTAATTGGAGAGCAAGACGTTCCCTGGGGAGGATTTTCTCTCCCCAGGCCTTTGGAACCGGCCGGAGGCAGAGCTACGGCTGGGCCTGGCCGGAGTCCTCCCCCTGCCTGCCCTGCGAGCGAGCTCTGGTTCAAGGTGGTTTAAAACACGTTTTTTTTAGCAGTGGTGTGAGTGGCCCCAATATTCCTAAATGGTTCCAGTTCCCCTAACGGATCAAGAAGGCATCTAGGCCTGGCTCGGTGGCTCACGCCTGTAATCCTAGCACTCTGGGAGGCCAAGGCGGGCGGGGATCGCTCAAGATCAGGAGTTCTAAACCAGCCTGAGCAAGAGTGAGACCCCGTCTCTACTATAAATAGAAAGAAATTAATTGACCAACTAAAAATATATATAGAAAAAATTAGCCAGGCATGGTGGTGCATGCCTGTAGTCCCAGCTACTCGGGAGGCTGAGGCAGAAGGATCGCTTGAGGCAAGGTATTTGAGGTTACTGTGAGCTAGGCCCACACCACGGCACTCTAGTCCAACAACAGAGTGAGTCTCTGTCTCAAAAAAAAAAAAAAAAAAAGAGGTTGACTTGTCTAACCACGTGATTTAGGGAAGGAACCGGAGGAGCAAAGCTGAGAGTGTTTGTTCACAGTCACGTGGCTGCAGTGACAGACGTAGGACACAGTCCCCAAGACCCCTGGATCCCCTTCGGTGCTGTCCACCTACTCAGCGCTGGCTCTCAGGGTCCGGGGAAGGCACAGACAGGAGTTTGTTGGCTCCTAGCCGTACACTGCCAGCAGAAGAAGCACTCGACCGTCCCTGGCCCTGCGGGAGCTGAGGGCGGAATTGAAAACATGCAGTAAACCTTAGAGGGACACATTCATCTTTATCGCAGAAAAATGGTTTTCTACCAAAACTGTCTTTGCAATGCTGAATCAACAGTGCAGACGTGGCTGTCACCGGGTGCGAGTCATCAGGTGCCCCAGGTGTTCGTGCCGGGCTCAAAGCAGAGCAGGATGCTGTCTTTCTCACGTCCCGAGGGGGAGGGTATGACGCGGGAGTCCAGGGCTGGGAAGACCCTCGCAGGAGGGAGGGGTCTCAGGCCTCCCCTGGAAGGTGCCCTCGGAGGTTTCAAGGCACAGGCTTAGGAGGGGTGGAGGGACCCGTCCTCTTCCGAGGCTGGGATGGGGTGCAGGCAGGTTTCAGGGCCCAGGCTACCCACGCTGGCATCAACTGTTGATTGGGACCAGCTCTTGGGCCGCCTAAAAAGGCCGTGTTATCTCAGGAGCAGAGGCTGGCACGGGTGTGATCCCAAACTACCTGGAGGCCCCGGCCTGTCCTGATGGCTCTGCTGAGGTCTTCACCAAGGCCCGGGACGGCTGTCAGGAGTCCCTGTCCTGGGGCTGTCCTCAGGCCCCTGCGTCCTGGGGGCTCCAGGACCCAAGGAGGCGTTTCCGCCTTACCTAGCCCACGCCCGCCCTGCCACTGCTCCTCGCCCGGCCGCTCCCACGCGGGACCTGAGCAACCATTTCCTCCCTTGGTGACGCTGGAGAGCATGCCAGCATCCCCGTCCCCTCGGGGACCCTTAGGCACTGTCTTCCTCCATCCCCACGTCCTGTCACCATCCCCACTGCTGTTCCTCCTGTCCCGGTCCCACCACCACCTTCCAGGGGGCTCCTCCCCTCCTGTCTTCTTGCTGAAGCATCCTGAAGCCTGATGGATCTTTCTGGAATGCCCGTCTGATCCTGGCGTTCCCTCTCGTCCAGTGGACTCCCTGGTGCCTAGTGGGGCAAGCCCATCCCTCTCCAGCCTCACCGGGTGTTCCCACAGCACCTCCTGCTCCTGACCCCCCCACCCCTGCCCCTGCCGCCTGATGGTCTCCCCTCTTCACCCCTAAATCCCGCTGCGGTGCCCAGGCAGGCAGCCCCGCCGTAGCAGTGTGTCCCCCAGAGACATTCGGTGTTCAGGGGTCTGACCCCGCTCCCCACTGCATCCGCAGCCCCCGCCCCACCCCGCCCTGGGTCTGACTTAGAGCCAGACCACCACATGTCAGCCCAGTGGTCACTGCGGCTGTGGAGCCCCAGAGCCACCCTCCACGATTTCCAGTCATTGTTCTGGAACTTTCTGAATGTTGACATAGCAAGTCCGACCTGTTGGTCAGCATGGTGCCCAGAGCCCTGCACCAGGGCCTTTCGCTACCTGTGGAGGGGAAGGAAGGGGACAGCCTAGTAGAGCGGCATGTGACCTTTTTATCTGGCCCTTTGTGTTGCAGTCTCCGTGAGGAGCAGCCCTACTTCATGGGGTCTGCGTCCAGCTCGGGGAGCTGGTGCGTCTGTAACTCTCCTGTGTGTGCGGGGACCCGGCCCTGCGCTGGTGATGTCTGAGGTCACCCGGCACGGGCAGGGCAGGCCCTGGCCCTGAAAACTGCTGGCAGCAGGTCGGCGACACAGCTGGACCTTGGGGAGTCTGTCTGTCATTCGCTGAGCCATACCCCTAACAGGACTCCGCAGGCTCCACTGGGGGCTCTGCTCCACTGGGGGCTCTGCTGCGTAGACGCAGAGGCCGCGTCCTCCCCAGGCGGGGGCAGGCCTGTGTGCTGGGAGGAGCCTGGGGCAGAGCGGGGTGCAGACGCGTCCAGCCCCAGGGCCCTGCCATCTGCAGAGGAAGGGAGGGGGGCGATGCAGTGGGGCGCATGTGTGGTCAGGCTGTCTCCCTAGGACCTGGGAGCGCAGCCCAGCCTAGGGGCCTGGGGTGCAGTGTGGTGTTGGGGGGCCGGTAAGAAAGGGGCCCCGCCGTGCTGGCTGGGGTGTGCACGGGGTTCCTTCCTGTTCGCTTGGGCATGGTGCGGACAGACGTGGATCTGGGTAATAAGAACACCTGTCCCGTTTTCTCACGCACTCCCCACGTCTGGCTGGTGACCCTCATCCACCTGCCCCCCACCTGTCAGCTCTGACCCTGTGCCTTCTCTCTGCAGCTGACGCCCATCATCTCCGACCCCGAGTACCTGCTGGACCAGCATATCCTGATTAGCATTAAGTCCTCTGACAGCGACGAATCCTACGGTAGGTGTCCCAGGATGGGTGCCACACCTGCCTGCCAGCCGGCAGCCTCCTCTGTAACTCTGGGGTGGCATCTCCTTCTGGGAAAGCCCACCTGCCACCCCTTTCCTCATCCCAGCGCTGCTGGGGGTACTGTTAGTAGTAGGTCATCCTTCCCGCCCCACCGGGCGTCTGGGCAGAACCGCCAGCAGCCACACACCTGCCATTGGTTGAGCCTTTCCTGAGTGTCAGGTCTGTGCCTGCACTTTGCACGCGTTGTTTGGTTTAGTCCTGACAAGACCTTACAAAGCAGGGACTATTCTCCAAATTAACAGATGAGTAAGTGGAGGCTCAGAGAGGCCAAGTGACTTGCCCAAATCACCTAGGTAGTGACTGGCTGAGCCCTGATTTGAACCCAGCTCTGCCTTCACTGCTCTGCTGTCATGTGTCCCCAGCCGCCCTCCTCAGGGGCATGGGCTCCCTCCCTGCTGGGCGAGTCTCTAGAACGCCTGCTCAGGCACGAACGGGCTGCTGCTTCTGCCCCCCCAGCAGCCGCCCCTTGCACGAGGACCATCTCCCCCAGCCAGAGGGATTTGGGCTGGGGTGCGGTGGGTCCCCTGCGTGGGCTGGGAGTGCTGGAAACATCTGCCCCGCGCTCTCTGGTCTTTTGCTCAGCATTGCTGGTGCCCGGCCGGTGCAGGCTTGTGGAATCTGCAGCCCCACCCATTGTCCCACTTGCGAGACCAGGGGTCGTTGCTCCGTCCTCAGCCCATCTGGGGCTCTAGCCCAAAGTCGGTTCAACCTCGCACACCTACATGCAGTGTGGCTGGAGCACAGGGCAAGGGGCAGAGGGCCAGAGAGAGGCTGGAGGCAGCTCCTTCCAACCCGAGCTTAGGGGAAACACCTTATCCTGGCGGCCGTAGGGAGCCACTGAAGATTCAGGCAAGACAGTAACAGGTTCACAGCCACATCTTGGAAATCTGCGCTTGCAGTCATGGAGATGAGAGGTGAGGGAGCCGGAATGAAAGTAGTGACGGTAAAAAGGGAGAGCAGAGGATAAAATCGGGAGGTGTGGAGTAGAGAAATTGTTTGGGCGTGGGGTTGGGGAAGCAGGGTGTCAAGGATGACCCTGAGCTGGTGGTTTGAGCCGCTCAGTCAATGACGTTTCCATTTCTTGCTGGGTCTGCTGTAGCACAGCAGGCAAAGGTGACCAGGAAGGTGCAGCCAGAGCAGGAGGAAACCAAAGGCTGTGCTGCCGGAGACCATCAGAGGAGGGTGTGGCCGGCGCGGTGGCTCACGCCTGCAATCCCAGCACTCTGGGAGGCCGAGGCGGGCAGATCATTTGAGCTCAGGAGTTCGAGACCAGCCTGAGCAAGAGTGAGACCTTGTCTCTACTGAAAAACAGAAAAAAAATAGCCAGGCAACTAAGAATATATAGAAAAAATTAGCCAGGTGTGGTGGTGCATGCATGTAGTCCCAGCTACTTGGGAGGCTGAGGCAGGAGGATTGCTTGAGCCCAGGAGTTTGAGGTTGCTGTGAGCTAGGCTGATGCCACAGCATTTTAGCCCGGGCAACAGAGTGAGACTCTGTCTCAAAAAAAAAAAAAAAAAAAAAAGGTGTGGAAGGTATGGTTCAGAGAGACACAAGGAAACAAAGACTGAGCAGTGTCCCTTAGGCAGAGTGACTCAGAGGTGGTGGGCAGGGCTGGGGGAGTCAGGCTGGGAGGGGTGGGGTGGGGAGCCAGAGGAGAATGACAGCCTGGGGCAGGAGACAGTGTTTGTGCCCCTGTTGGTTTTAAATGGAAGAGCTTTGCATGTGCCCTTCGGCAGAAGCCTGGGAAGAGAAAGAGGCTGAAGACACAAGGTCACCTGTGTGTGGCGTCTTTCCCTCCCCCACCCCTGCAGGCTCTGCTCACACCTGGGTGTAGGTGCTGTCACTCCTGGAGAGGTGAGGAAAGGAGGCTGGGAGACCTGAAGAGACCTGTCCAAGGCCACAGGGCTACTGGGTGGTTTGTCAAAGGTAACTGTGTGGCCTTGGACTTGAGCCCAGGCAGCCCAGCTCCAGAATCCGCACCCTTCACCCCCTCCCAGGGCAGCACTGATAAGAAGGTCCCCGAGCCAGGGCAGAGGTGGCAGAGCCTCAGGGCTCCGTGGTGACTGGCCGGCAGGTCCTAAGCTCTGTGGCAGGAAACAGGCAGTATGCAGAGGAGAGCGAGCTTGCGTTTTCTCATTTGAACACCGCATTCCACCCTTGTTTCTCCCCCTTGCTGTTCACACCCTCAACAGCATGTCCCAACGATAGAGAGGAAAAGGAGTCACGGACGTCTGCTTCTCTGACACGGCGATCGTGTTTGTCGTGGCTTTCCGTCCCCGTCCTCATACTCAGGCACACGTGGATTTGCACGCTTACCGTCACAGAGACGCCATGTCACGTTCCGCTTTTCTCGCCTGGTGTTAGACCCACCCTGTCTTCTCATTGTTCCTTTAAACGGCTGCATGGCATTCCGTGGGCTTACCGTCCCCTTGTTTTTGAAAGCGTCCCTCACTGCTGCCGTGGAGGCTCTGCCGGCCACTGTGCCGCGAGTGCTCTCAGTCACGCCGAGATGCATCTCTGTGGACAGTTTTCATTCTCCAGCCACGTTTTGTATTCTTTTGGGTTGCCTCTGTAGGACACGTTTGCTGGGCTGGGGGGTATCAGTATGTTTGTGATACGTGGCAATTAGCCGCAAACTGATTGTCATGTGGGCTTCCTCAGTTGACCGTGACACGTACAGGTTTCCCCAGGTCCTTGCTGGCGTGGAGAAGGTGTTATTCTCCCTCCTTTTGTGTTGATTTCATTCTGTGAAGGAGCACCTTGGTGTTTCCCTGGTCCGCCTTTTTGATGGCTAGGAAGGCTGGACTATTTTCCATTTATTGAAATTAGCCAGCTACTGTTCTTTCTGTGTGAAACGTCTGTTTGTTCTGTCTGCCCAGTTATCTCCTGGGGATTTGATTTTGAGGAGTTTCTTGTGGGGTTCAGGTAAAGAACTCCTTGCCTGTGACACTGGCTACAGCTGCTGTGCCAGTCAGTTTCTTCTTTATTTTAGTTTTTTCTTTGTGCAGAAATTTTAAGCTTGCATATCCTCATTTCTGGTCTTGTTTTGTCATTTCTTCTTTCTTTTTTTTGAGACAGAGTCTTGCTCTGGCACCTGGACTATATTGCCGTGGTGTCAGCCTAGCTCACAGCAACCTCAAACTCCTGGGCTCAGGCAATCCTCCTGCCTCAGCCTCCCAAGTAGCTGGGACTACAGGCATGCGCCACCATGCTCCGCTAATTTTTTCCTATTTTTAGTTGCCTGGCTAATTTTTTTTTTCTATTTTTCAGTAGAGACGGGGTCTTGCTCTTGCTCAGGCTGGTCTCGAACTCCTGAGCTCAAGCGATCCTCCCTCCTCAGCCTCACAGAGTGCTAGGATTACAGGCGCGAGGCACCGCGCCCGGCCTGTCATTTCTTACATTGCTTCAAACCTTGGGACGTTGTCATCCCTAGAGGAATCAGATTAATATTTAATTCTGTCTGCTCGGTTTTCTACGATGTAATTTATCTTTTACATGGACTAATCCACATGGAGTCCATCCTGCTCTTAGGTCTGAGACATTGGCCCCAGATTGCCGAGGCCTTGTTCTGACGGGTTTATTGAATAACCGTCGCCTGAGCCACGATTCCGAACGACCGTCCCCGTGGGGCAGAGTGACTCTCGGGCCTGGTGCTCGGTGCCTCTGCCGTGAGGTGGCGGGGTCCTCACTCCCTGTCTCCCCTCCCCAGGCGAGGGCTGCATTGCCCTCCGGCTAGAAGCCACAGAGACCCAGCTGCCCATCCACACGCCGCTCACCCACCACGGAGAGATGACCGGCCACTTCCGGGGCGAGATCAAGCTGCAGACCTCCCAGGGCAAAAAGAGGGAGAGGCTCTACGGTGAGTGCCGGGGCCCCCGCGGCGCCCTTTTCAGCCCCGCCGCCTTCCGGACAGGGATGCGCTTTTGCTCAGCACGGCTGTGGAATATTCTGTGCGCTGCAGCTCTGAGCAAAAGTCCAGCATAGGAGAGGGGCTCACGGGCAGTCTGGCGGGCCCTCCCCTGACTCCTGGCAGCCCTCACCATCTGTCAGCCTGTAGGCCCTGCCGCTCCTGCGCATCCCTCCACCACGGGTGGGGGGGATGGGGTGGGGGGGTGGGTGTTGGCAAGAGACCAAAGCAGACCATTTCCCGGTGACCCAGGGAAGGAGGCGAAAGCAGTGGCTGCAGGATTGCTCGTGCAACCTCTGTTCATCCACACGGCCCCATGGTGCCACTCGCACGTACAGACATCCCCGTACGTGCCTGCACCTTCCCCTCACGGCACCCTCCCAGGGCTCTGCCCCTTCCAGACCACTTTTGTCCCCTACATAGGTCAGAAGCCCCCACCCTGGGCCCTGGTGCATTTCTGTGGCTCCCCCTTACTCCAGCTCGGCCACCCTCCAAAAGGGCAGCAGCCTCTCCGGGCAGGGTTCCTCCACGCCCTTTCAGCTTGAACTCAAGTCTTTCTGACCTGTTAAGCACCACTTACCGGCTTTGGCTGGCTGTTGGGAGGATTTGTTTATCGTGGCTCTCAGAAGTGACACCGTGCAGCCACGCAAGGTGACAAATACTCTTTGCAGGTGTTTTCTTACCCGACACGAAACATCGGCCTCGGGAGTCATGCTCGGTCTGTCCCCAGAGGAGACTCTGCAGATGCGTTAGATATAAGTGGTCACCACTCTGTCATGAGAATATGGAAATGTGGCCGAGGGACCTGAATAACATAGTGACAACACCAGGGAGTGTCTAGACTGCAACTTGTAATTTTTCTCTTAATCCTGCCCAAAATTATAAAACTTGGAAATTGACATTTGTACTTCCCATTAGTATCTATCATGTGAACACTTGTCTGCTTGAGATAACGAAAGACATGAGAGGTACAGAGCCGCCCAAACTGTGTTAAGTATTTCTTCCTTTCACACAAGCACCAGGTGGGGTTTTTATGGTTTTAGTTTTGGGTTTTTTTTTTCTTTTTCTCTTCGCTTTAATGCCTGCTTAAAAGCACTCAGATAACAATGCCTGCAATGAATTGGCCTTTAACAATACACCTGATGATGTGCAAAATGATCATCTCAGAAATGTCATCTCACTTATCTCTCTCAACAGCCCAATCAGCCAAGCACTGTTATCTTTAGTAGATGGGGAAACTGAGGCACAGGGAGGTTTATGTGGTTGGCCGCAGGCCACATAGCTAGCAAGTGGGAAAGTGCCAAGCTGGCAGCGGCAAACGTGCTGGTCTCCTGCCTCTAGCGCAGATGTGGGGAGAGCAGGATTCACCACGTGTGGCGGCTCCAGTCCGTCGAGGGCAGCTGCCCCTGGGCATGCGGCTGCCCCTGCCCTGTGGGAGCTCCTTGCTCGAGCAGGACAGCGGATTGGAGTGATGGGGACTTGGCACCTCCACAACCACAAGCCACAGTCAGATGTGAAGACGGGGTCCCCATTCCCCCTTTAAGCCCCACGAACAGGTTGGCTTTGAGTACCACGCGCTCTTTGGAGCTGCCTTGTTACGTCTGCTTTGTTCTGATCTGACCAGAAGTGCTTGCCTGTTTTGTCCCTTGCTGGGACCAACAAGCTGGATGTGTCCCATGAAATGGCAACTCTGGGCCACACGGTCAAACACGCGCCGGCATAACCAACCGGTCACTGAACTCCCTTGGGGCCTCAGAATCTTGCTTAACCCACCTTCCCAAGTCATTCACGTCCGGCTTCGGCCTCCCGTGGAAACCACTGTGCCACCCCCGGCCCACCCTCGGGGCCTGGGCCCTCACGTGCCCTCCCTGACCTTTCCTTCCAGACTTTGTGAAGACGGAGCGGGACGAGTCCAGCGGGCAGAAGTCCTTGAGGAGCCTCACCAGCCACGACCCCATGAAGCAGTGGGAACCCGCCGGCAGGTAGGGCGGCCCTGCGGGCCCCGGGCCCGGGAAGGAAGCTGCAGAGAAACCACGGCGCAGGGGACGGGAAGCTCCGGCCCAGGAGAGGTGCTTTCTCGAGTCTCCCGACCACAAACCACGACTCTGGGGAGGTTTGTGGGACTGCTCCAAAGCCTGGGAGACGCTCTGTCTTGGACAGTTCAGTCGCTTCATACCGCGTGTCCGGATCTAGGGGAACCACGGCAGATAGGCGCAGTCCCTGACTTAGGGCCTCGCGGCCTAGTCCGGGAAGAAGCGACGGCAGAGAGGACTGAGGGATTCCAAGTCAACATGTGGTTGCCACGTCTCCCGGGGGACTGGGGACATCACAGTCATGGGAGTCCGTGACCAACTCAACCCCGTCCTGATGCTGACAGGGAAATCACTGGGGGAAAATACACACAGGTTGCTCTTGGCTGAGACTGAACGGGGATTGATAGGGAGGTAGGGAGGTCAGAGTCTGTGTTACTGGGGACAGGTGTCCTCAATGGCAGCGTTGCCTCAACCTGCTGGAGTGGTCTCGCGTTCCAGAATCCAGCCGGCGAGGGTTTGCCTACCTCGGGTCCCCACACTGCCTGTCCCTCGCCCCACGCAGCCCTGTGCACACGGGAGCTCCCATCTCCAGCCCATTGCCTGGTCCACATCCAGCTTCCGGTGGTCCCGGCCGCGGGCACTCACACACTGCTTTCACCCTCTGCCACGTGCCCCTCAGCAAGGGCGTCCTGGCTCCGAAGTGTCTGCTGGGCTCCAGAGTCAGGATCCGCATGGGGAAACGAGTTCTTTTGCCTTCTGACTAGGGTGAGAACCGGCGTGGATTGCCTAGGCGGCGCCAGCGGCTGGGATGTGGCCGGGAGCCGCCAGACTGGTTGCACAGATGGGAGCTTCGAGCGTAGCCTGTACATACAGCTCAGTTCCCCTGAGGTCACTGCCTGGCACAGGCAGCGTGCAGCGTGTGTGTCTTTTGGGGCCCCTCGTCTGGGCCACTCCCTCCACAGCTTTAAGCAGACTGCCCCCCCCCCATGCCAGGCGCCAGCCTTGACCTGTGCCACCTCACTCATGTTTCCAAATGCCCCCATGGCTGTCCCCACCCTGATACTGCACACACAGCAGTGCAGGCCAGCGTGTCCCAGATGGACCCCAGCTTCTCCTTCCATCCCCCCCACCTGCTCACTGGCCTGCAGACCATCTTGAGACCAGCCAAGTCCCTCTTGCCTCAGGGCCTTTGCACGAACTGCCAAGACCATCCTCCCCTCCCTTCTCTCTTACCTGCTCGTGTTCTTACCTTGGCTGAAAGACCTCCTGGTAGTCTCTCCCTCTCTACTTCCTGTTACTCTCAGACTTAAGCACTACAGAAACACCACGACTCTCTGCCACTGAGCTGGCGCCTTGTTTGTTTCTCCCGTCAAATGTGAGTTCTGCCAGGATAGAGGCAGCAGCTGCCTCCCTCATTCACAGCCCTAGTCCCTCCTCCTGGGCTTCCCAGGCACTCGGTGACCCCTGTGTGGCATGCATGGCTAGGTGGGTGGATGGATGAATCCGCTCGCCCAAGAAGTGAAGGGGTTGAGAGACTGAGACAGCCCAGGGGATATCAGAGGCCACGGTCCTTGGGCTGGCGCTGCCCTCCGGAAGGGAAGGAGTTACTGAGACGTGACTCTGTGTCTTCCCTGCAGGGCCCCTCCGTGCGGTGGCTCCGGCATCTTAGAAATCATGAACCCCAACTACATGGGGGTGGGGCCCTTTGGGCAGCCGACGTCCCTGCACGTGAAGCAGACCCTGTCCCCCGACCAGCAGCCCACAGCCTGGAGCTACGACCAGCCACCCAAGGACTCCTCCCTGGGGCCGGGGAGGGGAGATAACCCTCCAACCCCTCCCTGCCAGCCGCCCCTGTCACCCAAGAAGTTTTCATCCTCAACGGCAAACCGGGGCCCCTGCCTCAGGACACAGGAGTCAAGGTGAGCGTCCTCGTCATTGAGCCCTCTCTCGTCCCTGCTGACAGGGGTCCCCCAGGTTTTCACCCCAGAACAGAAGCCACTAAGGGTAGGGATTTGCACCTGTTTCCTTCACTACTGATCCTCGGGGCCTGGAACGTGGCAGGCGCTCAAGATGTGTTTGTGGAATCTCCCGTGTCCTAACTTCTCCATGCAACTTAATTTAAAAAAAGAAAAAGGATAGAAATTTGTAACAATACTGTCCCCCCAAAGCAACCTCCTGTAAAAACTACCTTTATTGAAAAATATGTTTCTAGAACCAGTGAAGCCTCAGGCATCTTCCACGCCCTGGAGGGCACCGTGGAACGGGGGTGGGATTTCGGTGCAGAGCCCCTCCCTATCTCGGGTTCCCCTTTCTCTTCTGAACCACGGGGGTGCCTATTCCCTATGCAACCTCCTAGTGTCCCCTGTGGGGGACACTTAGAAGCTGGAACCGGGAATGCAAAAGGGAGGCAGAGCGGCCAGCCTGCAGAGGGACAGGGCTTTGGCCACCCAACTGTGGGGAAGCCCAGGAGGTTAGAGAACGCTGGCCTGGGTGGAACTGGCGCAGGCAGAAGGACGGGGCAGGGCAGCCAAGGAAGGACCACGGGGGTGGGGGGGGCTGCCGTTTCGGTATTCTAGTGACTTCAGGTTTTCTCTCTCAAACTCTCCTCCCCTAACATGTGTTCTTTCTCCTTCTTTTCTCCTCGGGGATGTGAGTTCCCCGTGGAGCTGCCTGTCGCAGGTTGTCAGGAGGCGGGGGGCTACCCCTCACACAGCTCCCCGCTCCAGCTGCAGACCATCTCGTCCAGCCAAAGGCCCTCTTGCCTGAGGGCCTTTGCACGTACTGCCAAGAACATCCTTCCCTCCCTTCTCTCTTACCTGCTCACGTTCTTAACTTGGCTGAAAGACCTCCTCAAACCGGCCCCAACCCTCCTGTTAGTCTTGCCTGCTTTGGGTGACGACGTGGAATTCTCTGCCCGTCAGTCAGACAGGCCTGTCTTCTCGTCACTGGTCTTTGTTTCCCCAAGACTCACAAATGCCCGATTCCCTCTGATTTTCACCATGACCACGTGTTCCCCCCCGCAATGAGTTAAGAGATAAGGCCCACACGACCTCGGGGAGAGGACTGCATGCAGCTGGGGGAATGCGGTGTCAGCTAGGAGTGCTGGTCCCCTGAGCAAGGTCCTTGTTCGAGCTGAGACCCAGCCGTGCACACAAGGGTCAGCAGAATCTTGCTGGGGGCAGAGGAGAGGCTGGGGAGGGGAGGCCAGGAAGGGAGGCCTGGCAGTGCAGGAGGGCAGGGACTGTGGAGGGCAGGCTCATCTGGTGAGCATGGGGGGGCTGGCACTGCCGGGCTGCATAGGTTCACGTTTCTGTGTCTCCCGTGCAACCCCCAGTGGGGTCCCCCTTGCTCACTGATGCCCTGATGTGTGTAGTTTTTATGGGAGAAGGTCCCAGACCAGAACTGAGGTCACCCACGCGGACAATACCATTAACACAGTGCTGTCTCCTTTCCCTTTTTTAATGGGGGTGAAATGCACATAAGTTTAACCATTTCAAAATGAGCAATCTGGTGGCATTTGGTACATTTCCCAGTGTTACACACGTTTATCTAGTTCCAAAACAGTTTTATCACCCCAGAAGAAAAGCCCAGACCGTTAAGCTCCAGGAAGGCTCCCGAGTCTCCTCTCCTGAGCGCCCTCCTCCCTGTCTGGCTCTAGGCCCGGCGACCCGGGGAAGAGCGGCACGGAGCCGGAGGACCTGCCGCTGACGAAGCCGGAGATGTTTGAGAACCCGCTGTACGGCTCCGTGAGCGCCTTCCCTAAGCCGGCGCCCAGGAAGGAGCAGGAATCGCCCAAAATGCTGCGGAAGGAGCCCCCGCCCTGCCCGGAGCCGGGGCTCCTGTCTCCCAGCATCACGCTCACCAAAGCCCAGGAGGCTGAGCGCAGCGAGGGGACAGGCAAGCAGGTGCCCGCGCCCCGGCTGCGCTCCTTCACCTGCTCGTCCTCCGCTGAGGGCCGGGCGGCCACTGGGGACAAGAGCCAAGGGAAGCCCAAGGCCCCGGCGGGCCCCCAGGCTCCTGTGCCGGCCAAGAGGCCCATCAAGCCTTCCAGGTCGGAAATGAGCCAGCAGACGCCGCGGCCTCCCCTGCCCGTCAAGAGCCTGGCGGTCCTGCACCTGCAGCACCAGGGCCGCGACTACCGCGACAACAGCGAGCTCCCGCACCACGGCAAGCACCAGACCGAGGAGGGGCCGCTGAGCAGGACGGCCACACAGGTGTGTGCTCAGCTGCACATGGGCTCGCGTGCGTGTGCGTGTCCACGTGTGTGTGCACGTGTGTGTGTGCACACGGGCGTGTGATCGTCCTGGGAGCTGCTCCATGAGGAAGGGCTGGAGTCAGGATTTGAACCCAGGCCTCTCTGTTTCCCAGAACCCCTGACCCTGCATCTCCTCTGTGGTAGTTGTTGAAAGGGGCGAAGGAGGGGCTGTGCCCTCTGTCAGACCTGGAGGGGCAAGGCTCTGTGAAGTAAAGGAGCCTAGATCATTTATAGTTCATCGTCACTGTCATTAGCATCAGAACTTAAAATTTCCCCAGCGTTTTAGAGACTTCAGACACAATATCCCCTTCCTTCCTATAAAATAGATTTCTTTTTATAGGAAATGAATGAGCAAATGAATATAGCAAAATGAATAGTGATTAGGAACAGATTCTGGAGTCTGACTGTTGGATTTAAATCCTAGCTCCCCCCCTGTGGCTCTGGGCCTTGGGCCTCAGTTTACTCATCTATAAAAAGGGACTTCAGGCCGGGCCCGGTGGCTCACGCCTGTAATCCTAGCACTCTGGGAGGCCGAGGCGGGCAGATTGCTTGAAGTCAGGAGTTCGAAACCAGCCTGAGCAAGAGCGAGACCCCGTCTCTACTATAAATAGGAATAAATTAATTGGCCAACTAATATATATATATAGAAAAAATTAGCCAGGCATGGTGGCGCATGCCTGTAGTCCCAGCTACTCGGGAGGCTGAGGCAGCAGGATTGCTTGAGCCCAGGAGTTTGAGGTTGCTGTGAGCTAGGCTAACGCCACGGCACTCACACTAGGTTGGGCAACAAAGCGAGACTCTGTCTCAAAAAAAAAAAAGAATATATGTCAAATGCTTAGAATGGCGTGTGCTGGCTCTTTTCAGCTTCCAGGGAAGCCTGGCCTTGCCCATAGCATACAGGGACTCGGGGCCACTTAGTGACGTGGGCCCTGACAGCCTTTCTGTTCTTTCCCGCAGTGAAGCCCTCGGTGAGCTGCCAGCGAGTCGGGAGCCCGGAGGAGCAGTGCAAAGGCCCTGGGACCCTCCTGGGGCCTCTGGCTGGCTCCTCCCACCAGCTCCCTGCGCAAGGCTTCGTGATTCTCAGCAAAAGGCCCGGCTCCCGTGTGTGGTCCAGGGAGTGCGCCGCCTGCGGATCCGGGCGCCTCGTGCCGAGGTCAGAAGGACTATGCACACCAGACAGGCGGCCGCCCGCCCGGTCCCCGGCTTGACCTTGGTACTTGGGACCCCGAGCCTTGTCTGGGTTGCTATTGTGAAGAAAGAAACTGAAGAGCTGATTTGAAGGTGGAGAGATAAATAATAATAATATTAATAATAATACTGGCCGCGTGGGTGGAGCGCTCTCGGGGCCCCGTGCTGTGCTGAGTGCTTTGTGAGCCTTACGTCGGGACGACCTCAACCTCGGGAGTGGCGTCTCCAGCCAACTAAAACCACGTGCCCAGACCCACCGGTTCAAGACGGCGTGGTCCGGAGGGGTTTGGGCAAAGCATTAAGAAGGCCAGCGCCCTCCTGGGGCCAGACAAGGGTACAAACATTCTGTCCTATCCAGTGTCCGTACTGTTGGCTGCTTTGGCCACAGCCCCCAGGGTGGGCGCGGGGCGGGGGTTCTGGCCAAGCTGGGTGAGGGCAGGGACCTGCCCGGCTTCCCAGTTCCTCCTCGGAAGGAGCGGGAAAATCAGCTCCTCCTCCCCAGCAGAGAGATCTGGCCTCAGCCCGGGCTGCAGGTGCCGAGGCCCGTGCGGGTTCCTCACGCCCTCCTCGAGGTGGGCAGCCAGCCACGGGCTGGGCCGAGCCCCGACACTCATCCGTCCTGCTAGTAGAAGAGTCTTTGCTGTTGCTCCCGAAAGCCGAGCTCCCCGGCCCGGCACCGGGGAGGGCAGCCTCTCGGCCCCCGGCTCTCGGCATCGCGCAGCTTTTCCTCCAAGCTCTGTGGCTGTCAGCTCCGCTTCCCGGATTCTAGGAGAATAGATTGGTGATGTCCTTCCTTGTGTTGCTTTTTGACATAACAATTAATGTAGGGAACCGAGTCCAGATGTATGTGAGAGTCCAAGAGAAACGGGTACGCGCCCCATTCCCACAGGTGTCATCTGCGTGACCAATAAATTGTGCCTTTCTCACTCGGCTCCCGTCAGTGTGGCGTTTTTTCTCCGACATTCAGAGCTGCAGATACATTTGTAGGCTGCAGGGCCCACAGAGCAGCAGCTGGGGAGGGGAGGCAGCTGAGGGCCCGTGGTGGTGACCGGCGGGCATTGCCCTGAGCAGATGGGACACCACGGGGCCCGCTTGGAGCCGGGCCTGGGCCAGGAACAGGGGTGGACATCCTCCATATGCACACCTTCCTGGGACTGTGAGCGCCCTGCAGCCACCTAACTGCCCCCAACGCCTGCTGTCTTGCAGCCCACAGCACGTGGGAGCATGCCCAACCCAGAGGCGCAGTGTACGCTGTGGTGGCCCTGCCTCGGGCTGCTCGGCCTCTGCTTCTGTCACAGACATCAGGCCTGGGCTCCAGGCAGACCTTGAGGGAGCAGTGTCCTTGACAGCAAACCACTCGCTGCTCGGCTTCAGTGGCACGTAGAGCCCGTTGGGACCAAGGTGCCTCACCTCCACTCAGGTGGGGTCCCCGACCCTGCAGGCCCACTTCCTGGTCTCCATATGGAGCCCAGCCCAAGTCCCCAGGCCCCAGCCTTCTGACTGAGTAGAGCATTGGCCAGGGTGCAGGGGGAGCTGGGGACACTCAGACATTCTTCAGGCCCTCTGTCACCAGAACCAAGAACTGAGGACCTGGGCACGGATCCCCGTGGTCCCTGGGGAACACACTGGCCGCCAGGGTGGGGTGGCTGGCTGCCCCAGGTCCCTGCAAGCTGCTCACCCACAGGGAGAGCAAAGAGCTCGAGCCGCAGTGCCCGCTTGGGATGGGTGTCCGGGTACTCCCTACTGTTTCTGCAGGTTCCCAGGAGAAGCAAGTAGGGAAGTGGCAGCATGGGGCACACCTTGTCCCCACATCCCCTCCTGTTCTGACTTATAGTCGCCCGAGTAAATGCAGCGCCCTTGTCTCACTTCCCCCGAGGTCCAGCCCAAGGCTGCTGTGAGGGCCTGGCTTTGCACGTGGACAGACGATGGGAGCCCTCCCGCTGCCCAGGACCGGACACGCTGGACTTTAGGAATTTTCATCCTTGTCCTTTCAGTCTCTCAGCCCTGCCCCTACCCCAGAGGTCCCTGAGCACATCTCTCCTTGGGCTCTGGGCTGCCGCCATGTCCTGGGGTCCACTCCAGCCCATCTCTTTCCTTCCTGACAACTCCAGGCCTCCCAGAAATCCAGTCCCCCCCCATGGCAGGGTGAGGGGGGGGTTACAGACATTGCCACCTCTTTATCACCTAAGTGACTCACCTCCATCTTCTTCACCAAGCTCCATAACCAAGAAGGCAGATCAATTAACAAGCTTTCCTCACCAAAGTGTCCCCTGCCCCTAAAATGAATCCTATCTCCCCTGAGACAGCAGATGCTGCTGTAGTCACTTTTTTTCAAAAAGCAAATTTTTCCTTCTTTGCATGAATACATGAAAGCTGGCTGGCAGCGGCAGATTCTGTGCCAACAGGAAGGTGTTGTTTTCACAGCGGACAGTCCCTACTAGCAGCAGTAGCTGCAGCACCTCACCACCCTTGGGGCAGGTCAGCCATGCCAGCTCCTCCTCCCTCCTGGGTTTCAGATGTTTACCCATGCCACTTGTTTCCACCCCAACAGGAGGGAAATTAGTGAGTCATTCAGAAAAGCTCTCTCCCCCAGCTACCTTCCCTAACCCCGGCCTACCGTGTTCTCATCCTCACATAGTCTTAAAATAGCTCCTTTCTCTGGCAAACTAATTTCCATGGAGACCCAGCTCTGGGAAGGCCCAGAAGCTTCCTGCAAGGCAGTGAGCTCGGCTCTCAGCCTTCACTCCAGCAGAGACCCTTTTATAATGCAAATGTCTGGTGTCCCACCCCACAGATGCCCCCTAATTCCACTTTGGGGGTCTGCACTGGCCAGGACAGCAGGCGGGGTGGAGCCCAGGTGCAGACAGTACTTTCTCCTTGTTTTCAACTGGGCAGGGGGTCTGCACTGCTCAGTCCTCTCCTAGGCCACAGCAGAGCGAACCACTGGGCGTCCGTGAGTGCTCTGACACCAGGGTGTGCAGCTCACGGCCTTCCCTCGTGTGCTCCATCACACACGTGCGGACGGCGTGAGTTGGAGCTGGGGGGGGTCGGCACTTTTACTGAAGGAAGCCTGGGGAGAGGGTGTACCCTGAGCTGTAGGATCTGACAGAATGGGGTTTAAATATATTGTCTTTTGTTTCCTGCAACCATGATCTCATAGAGGCCATTCAGCTTTTTGTTGTTGTTGTTTCTGAGACAGAGTCTCACTTTTGTTGCCTGGGCTAGAGTGCCCTGGCATCAGCTTACCTCACAGCAACCTCAAACTCCTGGGCCCAAGCGATCCTCCTGCCTCAGCCTCCCGAGTAGCTGGGACTACAGGCATGCACTACCATGCCCGGGTAATTTTTTTAATACATATATATGTTTAGTTTATGTTTTTATACATATATATATATGTTTAGCTTAATTAATTTCTTTCTATTTATAGTAGAGACGGGGTCTCACTCTTGCTCAGGCTGGTTTTGAACTCCTGACCTTGAGCAATCCGCCCGCCTTGGCCTCCCAGAGTGCTAGGATTATAGGTGTGAGCCACCGCACCTGGCCATTCAGCTTTTATGAGCCTCAGTCTCCTCATCTATAAGATGGGGGAACGGTACCTTCTGCCTGGTGTGGTTGGGAGGATCCGAGGAACCCATGTCTGCAAAGCCCTGGCTCAGTGCGCAGTGTGTCCTGGGAGGTCCACTGAATGTCATCCCCTTCCCTCTCCTGGAGAGACAAGGGACACTTCTGACCCGGGCCTTTGCCGACCATAAGAATATCCAAGAAGAAGGTAAAGACAAGAACATGAGTAAATAAGCAAGGCAGGAAATGCAGAGGCAAGTGGAGGCTGTGAAAGGCCTTAAAGGGAGCCAGTTGAGGCCCGTGGGCTGGTCAGGCCAGCAGCATCTACTGGCATCTAGTGGGCGGGGCCAGGGATGCCGCTGACCCGTGCACAGGACAACACTTCTTTCCCCCGGCCCTCGGATGCCTGTTACAATCTGTCACTAGGACTCCTGTCCAGCTGCCGATGGGCTAGAACGAAGCAACGTCAGCCTGGGACGACCACGCCTCCCCTTTGCAGGCAGCTCCCGGAGGAACTCGCCCACCGGGAACCGGACAGGGCTTCTCAGCCTCGGCACCACTGACATTTGGGCCGGAAAAGTCTTTGGCGTGGGGCTGTCCTGTGCACAGTTCAGCAATGTCCCTGGCCTCTGCCCACCAGATGCTTGTAGCCCCCAGACATTCGTTGCTAAATGCCCCCAGTTTGGAGGGGGTGGCAGAATCACCCCCGGAAGGGAACAGCTGCCATGGAGCTCTTCTCCCAAGGCAGGTTCCCCGTGTTGAAGGTGAGGACGTTGACTTCGGCACTTTACACACACAGAGGCGGGCAAGTGGGAGGGAGCAGGTGCTCCCGTCTGCAATGTCACCAGGCCAGTGGGCTCCTTCTGTTTCAAGGGGCAAAGACGGACGGGGGGGGGCACCTCAGGGATGGGCCTGCCAGCAGGGTGCATGGAAGCGAGGAAGCCTTGGCCATCAGGACATGGGAGCCCCTCAAAGCCCGAGCCAGCCCTGGGGCCCTGGCACCTTGTGGTCCCATTGGCAGCCCGGTGGATCCCACTGTGGTGTCCACTCTGTGGCTTCTCCCCTCTGTTTTGTCCCCAGTGGGTCCCCACCTTCTGCACAGGAGGCCCTCTCTTGGCACGTCCTGTGTTTAAAACTGCCGGGGAGGCTGGTCTGGGGACTGCAAATCTCCACCTGCCTTATTAGCTTGGGTTCCCCAGAGACAGACTCTGAGAAGAAGGTTCAAGTGCGAGGAGGGTGTCTGGGAGCCACCCAGGAAACACTACAGTGCCCAGGGAGTGGGGACTCGAGGCAGGGAGGGAAGGAGGCCACAGACACGCCCGTATGAGCAGGGAGCCAGAGCAGGTGGCCGCTGTGACCAGCGGGGCTTACCATGCAGGCGCCAGCATCGAGCACACACCTGCGCTGCCCCGTGCGAAGAGCAGAGAGCTGTTGTGTCAGCTCTTGCGAGTCCCAGCTCAGTGCTGCCTCGGGGAGGGGCGTTAATTCCTCAGCTCTCTGGCCTGTGCAGCAAAGCCGATTCTCAAGGCCAGAGAGAGGCCTCAGGCCTAAAGAGCGGCAGGCGGGAGTGGGACCGCCACGCCGTGCCTCGAGTAGCTTTGGCGCCACTGGACAGAGTTCTAGTGCCAGGCCACAGGCCACTGGCTGTGGAGGTGGGCCTAGAAGAAAGGAAGGATGGATGGGCAGATGGAAAGAACGTGAGCAGGTAAATGAAGGGCGAGGCGAAAATGCCTGCCCGAAGCTGCTTGTTTGCTGTGTGCAAAGCCCAGCTGAAAACAGCTGACCTGTATGGAAGTTGTTAAAGAAATTAGCAAATGGCCCCGACCCTTTGAACATGTCCTTGGAAATAAATGCGGGGAGGAACTCAGCGGAGGAGGCTGTTTTCTCCTTTAGACTCTTCCTGTTTCTAAAAGCGCTGTATGTTTGGAGTGAATTATTCATTCCTCTGCCACTGAGCTCAGGAGTGAAAAGCAGCCGAAACAAGTGGTGACCCCCACGTGATTCAGGAATCCTCGCGTGTGGTGACCCCCACGTGATTCAGGAATCCGCGCGTGTGGTGACCCCCACGTGATTCAGGAATCCGCGCGTCCGGTGAGTGTTTTGGCTGTCGGGACTACAAGGGGAATCATCCTGGTAAGGGACAGTCCTGCCCGCTGCTCTGGGAAAGGGACTGACCCGTGTGGTTTCAGAAGGGGATTGCTAACATGGGGCAAGAGCTGAGGAAAGATCAGCCAATCTATCTACACACTTTGCAGTGACTCTTAAAAGCTGCTCAGTGTTCTGTTCAACCAAAAGCCTTACAGCAGCTCTTACGCACAGTAAGGCAGCATTGCCCCAGGTTCCCAGATGAGGCCACGTTAGATTTAGAGC